ATCTCGCCCATTGTTGTATCACGGAGGAGTTATAGCGCCGTGTTTGGGTTTTATAGCGTTGTATCGTCGTTCAGCCTCGCCGGCGCTCTTTTGACTCTTTAACTCGAAACGTTGCACATTCACGCACCAGTGATTGTATTATTTTCCCTCTAAACTTGGAAATGCACCCTAACTTCTAAATATCTCTTCGAGTTACATTCAAGATCTCTAGTTATCTGCTTATCGCCCGTTTAAATGAAATATTTTTCAATTCTGTTCATTAAATATTCAAGTTAAATTAAATAGTTGAATTAAATATTTTGATTTGAATATTTTAAAGAAATTTTATTTCGTGACTGTAACATTCTTTATTTGAGGAATTCCTTATTTAATACATTTATTCGAATAACTGTTCGTGCGTAATTGTATGAAGATTAAGAATAAATATTTACTATGGGAACGCGAGTCGAGAATAAAACTTCCGTTTTGTCCATTTCGCGTTGGCTGATAATCATGTTTAGAAAGTTCTTCACTCGGTGGCCAACTAGAACTGAAATTGCACGTGGAACAATGCTCTAGTAATAGTGTACGCTTCTAACGAATGAACTAGGAAGAAAAAAATGCAATATACTGGAATATTGCAATTTAAAACGTAGAAAATTACAATGTATTGGAATACAGCAATTTAAGACGATTAACTCCGAATGGAAAAGTTTGAGAATCGTTCGACTAGGATGAAATAGAGGAAGAGGAGGCCCTTTATGACCTGCGAAGGATTTCAGGTTGAATAGCTTTAGGGTCTTAAGATCGTCTGTCACTCGAGGACCCTTCTCGGAATTCGAGCTGAAGAGAACCAGCGAGGGAGAAAGATTATCCTGTTGCATGAACGAAATACAATTTTTGGCGACTCTGCTAGAACCATATAATATACCAGTATAGTACTATACTACTATACTACTATAGTAGTACAGTACTATTGTATGACCAACTACTAATGCTAGTATATGTAGTTCTATTACCTATATTCTTCTTGCAGACTATAGTACTAGCAAAATTACTACTATCGTATAGTAACTATATAATATAGTACTATAGTACTATAACAATATAGGACTATAATGGCGTAACTTTATATGGCATATACATATTATAAAATGTATTTTTGATTAATTCATCATTCTTATAAATCATTTTATAGTTGCCAATATAGTCGCAACAGCTTTATTCTACCACCTCATATAATCCAGTACTAGTATAGTTGCGATTTAATCTAGCGTATAGAACAAGTGCAACACTCTATTGTCACAGCTATAGTGAAATCGTATATACTATAGGCTATATACTATATATAGTATAGTAGCTATACTATAATTCTATACAGAGTGGAGGTGATTTGAAACAACTTTTTCTTTAGCGAAAATGTTGTCCGAGGCTTCTTTAAGAAGATATTAACAGAAAACTCCGGACCAATCAAAGCGCGAGGTGGCGGCGCTCCCCGACCAATCAGAGCACACGTATGCCGGTGGAGCGCGGCCGCCTAGCGCGTAGTCTACGCTACCGCGGCCGCTCCACTGGTATACTCGCGCTCTGATTGGTCGGGGAGCGCCGCCACCTCGCGCTCTGATTGGTCCAGAGTTTTCTGTTCATATCTTCTTAATGAAGCCTCGGACAACATTTTCGCTAAGGAAAAAGTTGTTTCAAATCACCCCCCGAACCACCCCTTTCAATGAACTCCATCATTTTTTAGACACCCCGTATAGTTGGTGATGTGCTTATAGTAAGAGTATATAGTAACTGTAACTCTATAATCATTTATAAAGCGAAATTATAGTAGCCACGTCGTCATTGCTGGCGAATCGCAATAAAGAAACAGTATAGTCATCGGTTTCATTGGTCAGTATAGTTGTATAGTTATATCCATAGTGACAGTATAGTTCAACTTATAGACAAATCGTAATTAGGCCCATGAAAGTACTATAGTTGAACTAATAGTAACATCAAATTTACCATATAGTGAAACTGTAGTAGAAAAATTCTTTATCCACCATCGTTTATATATTCGGTTCTATAGTAGTAGTATAGTTATACAAGCTACACTTATAGTTGCTACAGTTGTAATTACTACTCTCAACATAACCGAGTATAGAGAAACTAATAGTTGACAAAAAAGCAACACCTATTCGACCACCATCAACGATGATACCGTTACATACTATAGTATGTGTCGGTGTGTGTGTATAGTATCGGTGAGCAATGTAACCTTCGCCAAGCACGTTCAAGCAGAAATGATCTTTTTACGTACACACCGAAATGTAAACAAAAATGTTATCTATCGTTTTGCATCGCGCCATTTGCACTTCCACTTCCCTGGCTATATCGCACCTCCAGAAACATTTCCATATCTTTATTTATCTACGCGCATTCGCAACGATTACTCGAGTATTTCGCGTCGCGATTTCGTGAATAACTAGCTCGTGACAAAAAGTGTAGGCGTCGGTAAATGCAATCAAATAATATAGCTACAGGCCCTCCGCGGCCGAGTTCCATTACACTTTTCGATCTAAAAATATCGTTCAGTCACGTTAGACTTGAATGTCTCGCGGTAAAGGCCAATCCACGATGCGAGTTACGCCGAGCAGGGTCAGTTCTCTGTTTGTCTTTCTCTAGCACATTCGCGGCCAATCCTGTTCTCTCTGGGCGCATATTTATAGAGCAACGTTTCGATTCGAGTAACCCTTATCCATAAATATACGATTAATTGCATGTATTTAAATATATACATATATATATATATATATATATACATATCATGTATATCATACTAGATTTTGCTGTTTATGTTAGAGGTTATTACATCTTATAATATCGTGATGAATAATGATGAGGTTAAATAAGAATGTAGTAAAATTAATTATCCATTGAAGTACTGGAATATTTGAAAATTCATGTAACGTTTACTTAAAATTATGTACACGTGTGAAATTTATTCTTGTACACATTTATTACGAAACGTTTATTTGGAAATATCAAAGTATCAATAATTTAATCAAATTACAAAATTAAAAATTAGAAAATGTTAGGAAATAAAGGGAAAATTAATTAATTATCCACTGTAGTACTGCGATATTTGAGAATTCTATTATTTTATTGTAATTATTGCTCGTGAAACCTATCATTTAGACAAATATCTTCCAACGTACATAGGGTGTACAAAAAGTAATAGGACCGACTATAAATGCACCATGTGCATCGAACGCCATCGTTAATATTTTTCCTGGTTAATATGTTTTCCGACGAATTTCCACGATTTCATCGTGATCCATAGATCATTCTCGCGATCATCTCTCCTGGGCAAGGCCAATAGATTCTCGACCGTGCTCGTACTCGTGACCTCGCACGCACACAGCGCGCGAACGTGTTGGTGTGCACAGAGAATGTGCAGGAACGTGCAATGAGGGTCTTGAACCCACAACCGGCTCGTGGGTGTGACTGACTCATAGTACTATAGTCGATTTACTATAGGAGCCGCGTGGACTCTCGTAGTATCTGCCCCTCTCACCCCTCTCGCCCTCTCTCGTACCCCCCACTGTCGGCTTCCCCCACCAGCGCGCACTCCGCCATACTTGTTTCGCTCTCCGTCTCGCTTTGTTTCGCTCTCCGTCTCGCTTCGTTTCGCTCTCCGTCTCACTTCGTTCCGCTTTCTCGCGCTCGCTCGCTCCAAACGCCCGGTACACCGCCGCGGGGCGCGGAGGGGTGGGTGGCACCGACCGCTGTTCTCTGTGGCGCTCTTTGATCCTTCTCCGTTCTCCAATTGTCTCTCTCCTTTGTACTCGGGGCTTTTTTTCCTCGTTAAACCTTTTTCCACGTCTGTTTCTTCAGACGTTTGATGTTCAGGACGAGTTTTCTGACTCTTACCGACCGCTCGACGAACTCTACGATGTCCGTCGATCCTGAACGTTATTGTGTACGTAAAATTACCAGCCGAGGAAATTCATTTTCTTATAAGTTGGTATTTCGCTCCAACGATTTAATCCCCATGAATGCATCCTTTGAATTAATTTGTATTTGGTGGATGAACCAAGTCTCAACCTGATGGTCATTAGGATGCATACATGTAGATATCCTAATGACCATCAGATTGAGACTATATACATATATACATATTTGAAGTTTAGTTGTCCACAAATTTTGCTTATCGCTGTTTCCTTAACAGATTACAAGTGCACTTGATAATCATAACAATGTAGATTGCAATAGAGTTACTTATATATTTAATTTCTATGCTTGGTATTTATCGAGTAGACACTGAAATTTGTTACCTAAATTATTAATAATTACTGATACTAATTAATACTTAATTACAAGTATTAATTTTTATCCGTTTACTTTGTAAAGTTAAATTGTGATGGTTAATTGAAATATTATTGCGATCAAAAGCGAGCGTGTCCTCGCTAAAAAAATAAATCTGCAACTAAGAGAAACGTGTTATTCTAGAATGATGCTAACAATAGATAATTATTATAAAGTAGAATAGTTTTAGAGCAAATTTATTTCAAGAGAAAGTGAAATTAGAATAGAGTTGCGCGGGGCACTGGAAGCCCCCCATTTCGCGTCCGTGTAGGGCCGTCACTGGTCGCGCGTAATTGGCGCATGTGCGCGCGCACGAGTAGGAGTCAAAGTGGGAGAACGCGCGAAATTTAACAACCTTTTAGGAGGAAGTGCTTCTCTTTCTTTAATTTATTATAAATCTACCGTTGAATATCACGAATTAAACTGTCAATAAGACAAATCAACAATACTTTTCGATATAATTTCCGTTTCGCGAGCCCCAACTTGTTAGCAATAATTGTTGCCAACATTTGAATTAAAGAATAAATTCTATATCCTTAATAATTGAGAATTTTAATATTTAATTCAGAGTTTGCATATAAAATTTACAGTATCGATAATAAACTTGGAATCTAAAAATAAAATTGAAGAATTGTCCTAAATAATTTATGTTCATCCATTTTCTTTATATCTGTTTACATAAAATAGTTTAAAATCAAGAGAAATTCAGGCATTGCTTAATATTCTCTCTCGTTTTAAACAATAAACTACTTAACAATCATACCATAAAATTGTCCAGAAGGAAATAAAATCTCCCAATGTCTCAAGTTCTCTCCAAACTCATTTTTTAATTATAGACTCTATCACTGATCTTAGAATTTCTCAGACTGACTGGGTCTTGTTCGTTGATTTCAGTCAGGTGAATGTTGGATACGGAGAGCAGACACGGTACTGGGCTGGATCAGGGACCGACAAGGGACCCTTGGCTCACGATGGACTATTACCTTGGCACGGACAGTCTCTCCCTCCAGGAGATGCTCGATGTCGACATCAAATGCGAAATTGAAGGAGTTATCGGGGGACACTCAGAGCTGGGCTTCAATTTCACAGACATGTCTGGCCTAGAGATGGACGATGACCCCATCGGCTGCCACAATGACCTCAGTGGCTGGTTCGGGTCCACCAGTTTGCTCAACGGCAACAGCAACAGCTCCAACAGGTATCTTCGCTCAAATATATCTTCACTCGTATACAGTTTCTAGTTAAAATTCATCCCAGCCAGTTTCCCCGGAAGGTATAATTGAAACAGTCAGTGATCCATGTAAGAAATGTGTATCGCACACTGGTTCCATGACTGCTCAATCCTTGTATCGGGCAATAAAAATTGATCAATGAAAAACAGAAACTTTGAAACTGTAACAACATTGTAATAGCGTAATAATAATCCTCTTCTTTCAGCAACTTCAACCTTGACCTCAGCGGAGGGGATGCAGCCTCCATCATGGTGAACCCAAACTCCGTCATGCCCCACATGGCAGTGAGGAGTCCAACACCGAGCAATATCAGGAGATACTTTGCCTTCTCGCCGAAGAGGGAAATCAAGGAGGAGAAGATAGACGTGGAAGACGAGGTGGAGAACGAGGCCAGCAGCTGCACAGAGAACGAGAACGACCAGGAGAACGACACCGAGACGGAGCAGTACGAGAACGACATCACAGACACCGAGGAGGACTCCGAGGACGAGCAAGAAGTCTCCAAGCCAGTGACGCCGTCCAAGTCGAGGACGATCTCAATCTCCGCTGCGAAAACGATCTCTCCTCAATTCGCGAGGACTCAGACCACCCCCAAGATAAACGGAGTGTCCAGCATCAGGGTGCAGAACTTCAAAGTGCTGCACAGCCCCAGTCAGAGCCCCCACGTCAGGAAACAGATCTACAACAACAACGTTCACGTGAATCCAGCCACCGCCGCTGTCGCCACCATGAAAAGGGAGAAGGAGTTCGATCTGTCCGACTACGACGACAAACTCTACCCTAAGCCAGCTTACTCTTACTCTTGCCTGATCGCCATGGCCCTGAAGAACAGCCAAACAGGATCCTTGCCGGTCTCAGAGATTTATAATTTCATGTGGTGAGTCGATTCACCAGATTATCGGGAAAATTGCGAGCTCGGGATGAACCAGAAGGATTTCTGTAGCTTTAAATTGATTGCTTAGGTCGAGATAAATACTCTCAGATTAGATTTGTATAGTTAATTGAGATAGTAGTTACAGTACAAAATTGGAAGGACTCGAGACGTTGATTAATAATTTCTCTGCACATACATTATTTCTAAATAGGCTCAGCGTTAAAAAATATGAGTCGAGGCTTGCAAAATGTGGTTTATCATAGAGAAAAAGGTCGATGGAGAAGGCTCCCTTCGGGAGAGGGTTGATGCTTGATTAACATTTTTTTTATACGCTTTGAGCAACGCTGCCGCAAATTCTTATTTGACAAACGACCTACTCGCTTATTTTCGACCATTTGGCCGGAAGGATAAGGGCTGGTCGAAGCCCTCCGGTGCTCCTGCCGCGAGGGGGAGAAAGTATTGTTGTCCCTTTTTTATTCCCGAGTTACAATGGGGGGGAAACTGCCATTTTGTATGGGGCCCTTGGAACACCAGGTGCATGCCAGAAGTGTACAGTCCCCACAAAAAACACTGAATACTTCCTTATAACTAACTCCCGTTTTCCATCAAACTCGCTGTACAATATTACATACAATACAACATATAATATTGCAATGTAATCACTGCGAACACAGTGTTTATCTTAACACAAGCTTGACAAAAATAAGAAGTATTTCCTCTCTATTTGGAAAAGCTACGAAGGATTTCAATTTATAATTTTCCTTATATATTCATTCGCTCTTGAAATTTCGCAGATTTGTATACCAAACAAAAGGAATACGTAGAAATTTACTAGCTAAGTCAAACTACATATCATCCAAAATAATAACAGAGTAGTCAAAAATATTATACTGCGAACACTTGAAAATTTCTAAACGATAACTTGATACATGTACACATGATCAGCCTTAACACACCGTAATATATAGAAAGTTCTCTCTGAAGGGCTACTTAAAGCATTGACTTCATCCTGAACTCATGATTGCTCTATGAATGATGAATCTAAAATATTATACTGCGAACACTTGAAAATTTCCAAACGATGACTTGATATATGTACACATGATCAGCCTTAACACACCGTAATATATAGAAAGTCCTTTCTGAAGGGCTATTTAAAGCATTGACTTCATCCTGAGCTCATGATTGGCCCTTACGAACGCCTACATACAATTTACTTGGCTCCGTCACTAACTACTTTCTGTTCTCCTTCCAGTGAACACTTCCCCTACTTCAAAACCGCACCGAACGGCTGGAAGAACTCCGTGAGGCACAATCTTTCTTTAAACAAGTGCTTCGAGAAGATAGAGAAGCCAGCGGGGAATGGTAACCAGAGGAAGGGGTGCTTGTGGGCGATCAACCCCGCGAAGGTGGCGAAGATGGACGAGGAGGTCCAGAAGTGGTCCAGGAAGGATCCTCTGGCCATCAAGAAGGCCATGATCTACCCCGACCACCTGGAGCTGCTTGAGAGGGGCGAGATGAAGTACGCTGGCAGCGGGGATCTATCAGAGGAAACGGAAAGCTCCGGGGACGAGGCTGTCGAGGAGAGCGCGACGTACGACCACGAGTCCATCCACAATCACATAGCCGCCAACTCCGTGACGGACAGCTACGACGAGAGCAGCCAGGACTGTGATATAGACATCGTCGAACACATGTACGACGAGATAGACATAGAGGACAATAAGGAAGCCCTGCACATGCAGCTAAACATATCCAAGCGAGAGTCGTTCGAGTACGAGCTAAGTCCGAGCACCAAGAGGCAGAAGACGCTGACTGGAGCAATACAGGGCAACTACGTCTATCAACCCGTGACCACGTCAAGAAGAAAAACGCCTCTCCTTCTGCGAGCCGGGGCGGGAAACAGCTCCTTCCTTAAGATAGATTGAACTCAGGCCGATCCAAGAATCTTAACCGCGAATTCCTAGTTTTATACGCATCCGTAGGTGGGAATTAATTTAAGGATACGCTGGGGATGTACGAGGACTGCCTCGTGGCACTTGATACGATTAGCTGATCACCCGAGTTGTTTCTTTGAACTGCTGCCATGTTAAACGCGTGTATCGAATTCTTATTTAGGTCTACGTGTAAACAATGATTCTTTGCAGTCAAGGTTTGTAGTCGAGGCAGTAACCTGAGCCAAAAGGCTCCCTTTTCTTTAGACTGGTTTCGTAAATTACGTTGATCTTTTGTTTAAATAGTACAGTCTTCATCTACTACTACTACTGAATCCATGAAGTAACCTAAACAAAAGTTCAGCGTTTAACGTGTTAATCGAGTAATTGAGCCTAACGTTCTCTATAAATGATTCCTATTTATCTGTAGATACAAGAATGGAAAGAAAGTATTCAGAATATTTAGTTTCCTTTTAGTATTACGTACCTACACGTAGGTACCTACACGTTAAAAAGTAATAGTTAAAGAATATAGTTATTAAATTTTGTATTTGGAAGAGAATAATCATGTTCTCTCCAATTTCTACATAAACCATTCTATCTACGTATAAGAGAAGATAAAGGCAGAACGTCAGGCTTAAAAAATAAGAGAAGTACTCCTGTATCTAAGAGAATGACGCTGGAAGCGAACGTCGAGAAGCCCTTTGATCTATAAAATTCGTTTTATAACAATCTTGCACAGTTTTTCTATTTTTCTACCAACATTCCATCTGACATTATGACTTTCGCACTAAGAATCTTGGCTTCTGGACGACTCGCTATGTTAGTGATACAGGAGTCCTTTGAATACACAGTTGAAAGAAACAGAATCTCAATCATTTTATTTCGATTCCTTGTTTGATCGCAAGCAATGTAGGCATTACTTTTTTGATACTAGCATCTTGACCATTGGTACTTCTTAAGGCGCAAAAACCTTGGGCCTTGCATAGCCTCGAAACTCTTCATTTTATTTTGTAATCGTGGTCAGTCCTTTTAACTCCGTCACTCTTGGACTTTGAGGAACCAAGGTCCTTTTCGTTGAAGGAGATCAAAGAATAACTGAAATTTTCCTTGAATCTCTTTCAACAAAACAGGAAGAACCTTGGTTCTTCTTCGATCTCTGTCAATGAAGAGGGAACCTTGGTTCTTGCAGAGGAAAGCTCTGAAGATCTCCTTCGATCTCTATCAATGAAGAGGGGAACCTTGGTTCTTGCGGAGGAAAGCTCTGAAGTTCTCCTCCTTCGATCTCCTTCAACAAAATGGACCTTAGTTCCTGCGGAGGAAAGCTTTAAAATTTTCCTTCGATCTCTATCAACAGGGGAACCTTGGTTTCTGCGTAACCCCTAAAATTCCCTATTCCCATTTTCATCTTCCAATTTGGACTCGTAACCTCCCTTCATCGAAGAAAGCATTCCTGTATCAAGCAATCCTCATCGACAGCGTCAATGACATTTACTTAGAATTCGTAAAAGCGTATGTGCACCACGGAACTTTTTTAATCGAGAAATGGATAGAGACGTGTCCAGTTCTCCTTCGTGCGAGTTCTTTCTTTTTTTTTTTCTTTTTTTTTTTATACAGTTGATTCGACGGATCGGTGACAAACATATATAGAGATAAGGGAAATGAATAAGTATAAAGCGTTAGGTAACGTAGAACGATAAGTATTTTGGTCAACGATTGGCCAGACTGATGTATTATACTTTTTTATACATTGCTGGACTAAGTGATTAATTGTAAATGTTTACGCGTTTGTATACCTGAACAGACAAATGAATGGAGTTACTTAGATTCGCGTATTATAGACAGGTAGAAAGTACAAAGACGCGACAGCTATAAGGCGGAATCTGAATTTGTAAAATTTTGTAGCATACTAAAAGCGTAGGCGCGGTTGGGAATATCGTATACCTGATTTATATATGTTCTTCAAATTCCCAATCAATCTCATCAATCTCGTTTCTTTATACACTTTTTATTTTATTTTTCTTTTCTTTTTTTTTTATATATACCTCGTCTCGTTCGTTGCTTAATCTTTTATTTAAATGTGACGTTGGAAGCTTCTTCGAATTCGATTCTTTTAGGCCAGTAAAGTTAGTTGATCGTCTAATTCCATTCTTTTTCTAATTAAGCACAGATTGTATGTATGTGTATACGTATATACTTTTTAATTATTCGGCCTGATAGAGAGGCGAGAAATTTACTTAACGTTCCGTCTGCCTTCTCTTCGACTTAAGATTACAGCGTTCTGAAAGTAACTTGCGTTTTTTAACACCTTAGCTACCGGATCAGGAGAAGCTTAGGTGATCTTTTGTATCGATGCAGGATAGCTTCAAGGTACTTTTGGTCCGGAGAAAGCTTTGAAGTTCTCCAAGAACCTTGATTCTTGCGAAGGAAACCTTTGAAGATTTCCTTCGATCTCTATCAGCGCAAAGTCAAAGTATTTGGTTCTTGTGAATGAAAACTTAAAAATTTTTAATTTTTGACAAACAATACAATTTCTAAGCTTTAGTTTCTATACATTGGAAGTATAAAGACTACAAATTTTAAAAGTCAGAAAGCTTCTCCGGTGGATAAAGTGTTACGTGTGCCTGAAAATCATACACAAGTGAAGTTTTTAGTTTACGACTAACAGACACAGCGATTTTTTTTAAAATTTGTACAATTGTAAATAAGCTACAGAGATTTCAGTTTATTATTGTGACCAATGTCTTTAAAAATCACTAAGATCGCTTCGCAGTATTTCAAAATATTCTGTATCGCAGCCTCTCACGACTCTGTTACTTTTGTCTCGATTGTGTCTTTCCGTTTTTGTTATTTTCCGTATCGCAGAAATAGAACACAGGAACACATATTCTAAAAAGTAAAACGTACGTTTAGAGACGTTAGGTTGGCGCATAGATAACTTGGTTTTTCAGCTGTTAATTTTTATTATATCGACTCAGTTTGGCATGAAGCATCAACGAAAGATGCTACGAAGGAACGTTCGTTATGAAAATCTGTATGTAATGCGATTAACTTTATATAGAAATTAATTGCACAGCAGACTGTGCAAATTGGACAGCAGATGAAACGAAATTATTTCTGCGTCGACCTAACGAATTCGAAATTTGTAAATAAATCACGATTAAGCATCGTCTTTTTTACAAAATAATTTTTCAAACGTGTGTAGTATGTTGCTTTAAGGTGTACAAAGCCGTTCTTTTTATAAAAAGATAAAATGAACAAAAAAGGAAAAAAAAATATAGAAAAAGGAAGAAATCAAGACGTGGGACCAATCTGATTTTAGAACCCGTCTTAAGTATAATTGTAAGTTTCTTCGATTATTTTGTAAGACTTTTAACAAAATACACTTCTCCACCTTCTTCTTGTATAGATCTTGTAAATATCTGCTCTTTCGTTTCCAAATAAATGCCCCGATGGCTTTCGAATAGATCTTTAAATTCAAAACAAAGAAAAAAGAAAATTGAACTAGCATTTAGGATAACGCAAAGCAACTCTGATATTTCTGCAGAAGCACTTTGTTGCTTTAGGGATTCAATGTACTTTAGCAATCCGATCTCTATGAAAAGGTAGACAACACCTCTAAAGAAATATTAAGGTTCTTCTGTAGAGTATTTCTCATGGTACGATACACAGTGTAACTGGTATCTTCTAAAATACTTCCGGTGTCTTGGCTTGTGTACACCTTGAACAATGCCATAATAATAATAACTATATAAACGTATTTTTTAAACGCATTTTAAGAAAGGGGTACTGCGTAAACAAACAATTTTGTAACGACAAAATCCTCATTCGAGAAACTTGAGATTATGATTAGAGTATTTCCATTAAATTTTCATCGTTCTTGCGTTCGTACTCTTTGAAAATTCCAAGCAATAACGAAGAAAAACTTCATCGAGATGAAGGAATTGTTTGAGAGAGAGAAGCATACACAAAGTATTAATTAATTCAATCTCAGATTGTACATTCTTAATTTATTCTACGGTCGGACAGTTTTTCTACAGTCATAGGGATGCGAATGAAAAGTGTATCGATACTTGTACTATGAACTGTGCTTGAGAGAACTCTGTGACAATGACATTTCTTTCAAAATTCTTGCCCTACCACTTTGCGTATGGCTCAAAAGAGCAAACCACCTTGAAATATCACTGCCAACCTGTAGCTGAGACTTGGTATAAGTCTTTGCCACCGTTTCAAAGATCTCCCCTATGATTAATGTTAATTGTACATAATCGACTGGGACTGGTTAGAGCATTGAGCTCTTGTATTCATTTTACTCATTACGTAAAGTAGCATTGTGATCCTCCAACTGGTAAAAGCTATTCAGGATTAGTTAAATTTGCATCCTGATATTAAATTGTTAATCAATGTTAAGGAAAATCCAATCGAGGGAGCACAACTGTTTGGTAGATTCGAATACTGTATCAAACTATTTGCAACTATTTGCCTTATCGTCAGAGAAAAGAAAGATGTGTCTCTTAATGGATATGGTTTTTTCAAGCAACGTAAGGTAGTTAATTTATAAATGAGGAATCGAGATGAACACTGTACATAATTGCGAATAGTGTCCACTGTGATGAATATTGTTTGATCGAATGAACAATCAGTCTTGCGAGATGTGCATTCCATTTCAAGATACATTAACCCTTTATTTTTTCATTTTTGTATAGATGTAGAGAGATGAAATTGTAAACCGTTTGAATGTTTGACGATTGCTTTTAAAGGGAAGCTTTATTTTTATCATTTTTATACGTATAGTAGGTATTACTGAAAGAAAACTGTTACGGACAGAAAACTGAAAGATCTTGTTTCGCAGTTTCCTTTCTGTGAGAGAGAGATTGTTTATAAATAAAGGGTTAACGTCCAGGATTTCAACAGGAATAATCTCCTGCGAATGATGGCAATTTATAATCCATAATTATTAAGTAAAACATACAAGTATGATAAGTACGTAGTGTAGTTTTTGTACCTGTTTGTAATATTTCTATACGATATTATTAATGTATGTAAACGTTCGTGTAGATGCAGCAGAGTAATTTGTAAGAATAATGTATATGTGCAATGAGAAGGTTTCAGTAATAAAACGTTGAGAAATGTATGTATCGGTTTCATTTTATAATTTTCAAGGAACTCTGGTTGCATTCGGGGTTCGAGGGCTATTGTTTAAGTATTGTAATGTAGAAAGCATTAAATAATATCTAAGTATAATATTTATGTACAAATATATTGTTGTTTTGAATAGAGGAGACCATGTTTCACAAAGATACAAAAATATATGATCTTTGTAGAATTATACATAGAAATAAAAATTGAAAACTGAAAGAAAAAACTTGTTGTTTAACCTGTACCTTTGTCTGCTTGTGGCGCCATCTAACAACAAAACGCTCAAGTTTGTTGCGAAAATAGTTCCTCCTGTTGCCACTAGATAGCGCCACCGCCATATTTGGAAAAATGATTGTTTTCTTCTTAAATGCGTAACTAATACAATGAATAGCTATGAATTCTAACGCTGCAATATATTAGTCAGTATGGTAAATTCATCATCAGTATGAATAGTTATTTAATTTAGCAATAAATACCAGCCCTGTACTTAGTGGCGCCATCTAGCGGCGACAGTGGGAACTATTTTCACTACAAGCTTGGACGTTTTGCCACCGATGGCAAAATGCACCGATGCTTCTGAATTTCGGCGGGAAATTCAACTCCTGGCGTGGTATTCCGAGTACGTATCAACTTGTGGTTTAAATTTTACATTTTGGTATCAGGAGAACATGATATATACGAAGAGCTGGCACGAGGTATCTTTGGTATGTATTAAAATTCGGGCCAAAATTTCGATACGTACCATGAAAATTCCTCGTGCCACCTCTTCCGATATCATGTTCTCCTGATACCAAAATGTAAAATTTAAACCGCAAGTTGATACGTACTCGGAATACCAAGCCAGGAGTTGAATTTTCCGCCGAAATTCAGAAGCGACTGTAGCGCCATCGGTGGCAAAACGTCCAAGCTTGTAGTGAAAATAGTTCCCGCTATCGCCGCTAGATGGCGCCACTAAGTAAAGGGTCGGTATTTATTGCTAAATTGAATAATTATTCATACCGATAATGAATTTACCATACTAACTAATATATCGCAGCGTTGTATAGCTATGCATCGTATTAGTTACGCGTTTAAGTCTACCAAATTCTAATACTCTTTGGGTCTGATTTCTATATTCCTACGTTCGTGGTCCTAATCGACTGTCGCGCGACAAAGTCGCTCGTAGCTGAGTCGCTGCATCGTGTACGTTTTATTCGCGCTAATTTCTCAAGACTCTTTCGCAACGTTTTCTTTTGTTCTACGTTTTCAGGTGCTGGTCGATTGCAATTATCTTATCATAGTTTTTACTTACTACAAAAATTGTTACATTTTGTTTGACATGCTCCTGTAGAACTCAGAGAGTAGAATCCGAAAATGCTAGAGGCGTGGAATCCACTGGTTCATGAGGTAAGCGTTTTTACTGTACATAGAGGGGCACCGACCCCCTCTGTACACTTCTCGAAAATATACCCCAAAGCAACTCTGTTAATTCGAAATATCGAAGTTTTCAAAAGTAGGTGTATAACAAAGTAAAAGTAGTACGTAATGTACTCCACCACCTACGAGAATCTGTTTTACCGACAGGGTATGTATTCAAGCCAATATGGCGTCAATATGCCCACTTTTAACTGCTCCTAACCACTCGTAACTTCTGTACCAGTGGATTCCTCGCATTAAGACTAGCATTTTCGGATTCTACTCGTCGAAATCTACAGGATTATGTAAAACAAACTCAACAATTATTGATCTCCCGAAACAAAGTTCTTCCATTTTTCATATTTATTTTTGAGTTTGAATATAAAGCAAGATGCCTTTGACGAAGTTACAATTGTTTTTCTTACTGGAGAATAATTACTATAAATATAAAGTATTATCAAAAATACGCAAGAAGAGGCGTCAACCGGTGGAAGAAATTTACAAAGACAGAATACAGTTCGATGAATTTCACCAGCTATACTCTCAATTACTAGACAACGATCATTTATTTTACCAATTCACACGAATGAAAAGAAACACTTTCAATTACATTTTAGAAAAGATTAGAGAAAAGTGTTCTCGTAAGACAACAAATTTTAAAAAGCCAATTTCGGTGGAGGAAAGACTTATTGTCACGTTAAGGTAAGAAACGTAATTTTTAATTAGAAAAACGTTATAATTGTATCTATTAAAAGCACAAATGTATACAAATGGATGTTTGTATACAAAACAATTCATATTTCATATTCAGCAATTAGTATGTCCTGAATCTTATTACGCGCAATAAGATTTTTGGTTCATTTCTTTTTAAATGACACTAGTGATTGCATAAAGCATACTCCGAGATTTTTCTATTTCTCCGTTGCCTTATCCTCTGAATTAATGGAAGATTTTTTAAATTTTAGGTACTTGGCAACAGGATTAGCATTCAGACAAATAGCATTAACGTTTAAAATTTCAAAAAGTGCCGTTTCAGCTATCGTTGTCGAAGTTTGTATGGCCATTTGGGAAGCACTACACGTTAAGCACATGAGTGTACCTAATGTTGAGAAATTCGAAGTGATTGCGAATGAATTTTACAAGAAATGGAATTTCCCCCACTGCTTAGGTTGTATTGATGGGAAACACATAAGAGTTAAACGTCTTTATTCTATCGTTCTGATGGCGGTAGTAGATGCCAATTACAAATTTATAATGGTCGATCTTGGTCCATACAGAGAGGACAGCGATGGGGGTGTCTTTGGCAATTCGCAAATATTTTCTGAATTGGAAAATGGTAATTTAAAGTTGCCTTCCAGTCGACGATTGCCCAATTGGAGCGTAGAAGCACCTTTCGTGTTTGTTGGCGACGAGGCGTTTCCCCTTAAGCAGTATTTAATGAAACCATTTCCGGCTAGGCAAGCAGCAGATTGCAACGAGAAGTTACAATTTAATTATCGTTTATCGCGGACAAGAACGGTAGCTAAATGCGCGTTCGGAATCAGCGCGACGAAATTCCGCATTTTGTTAAAACCGATTGAAACAAAAGTTGAAAATGCTGTATCTATCGTCAAAACATGCTGTCTGTTACATAATATAACAATTGATTTGGAAAACGACAAGTTCAGTTACAGTAATATCGAGAATTCTTATTTAAAGTTGAACCACTTATCTCACTCCAGAAGAAATAACAGATCAACGAACGCAGCGTTAGAAGTAAGGAGCGATTTTTCAAATTATTTCGTTAACAATTTCATATAAATTCCAAAAGAGACTATAATTAAATTGTAACTTCACGTTTCGATTAGGCACTCGTATGCGCAATGGCAAGACAAACTACGATAACAGTATTCTAAACGTTACTTTGCAGTATTGTTAGTACAAATTTAACAGCGCTTTGCTACGTTCGTTTGTTTGAAAGTGTCCGGAACTATTCGCGAAACAACGTAATTGGTCGTAATTCGTCCAGTGGTCGCTTGAGAAAGTCGTGTGTATTGGATTAACAGTAATGTCGAATTTTGTGGAGTTATTAATAACGGAAGTGGAAAGACGGCCCATTTTATGGAATAGATATTTGAAAGATTATAAAAATCGTGTTTTAGTTGAGAAGGAATGGGAGAACGTTGCGCTGGTATTACAAAAAGAGAGTAAGTTATTTGAAATAATTACTTTTAATTTTTTCCTTTCTTAAATGTACTTGTTTTTTTTCTTGCTTTTGTTAAATTCCTTCCTGTTGTCGAGTACCTAAAATGAACAAAATCTTCGATTATTTTAGAGTACAAGGTTAAACAAAAGTGGAAGAATCTTCGAGATCAATTCCAACGGGAGTGTAAGAAAATAAGAAGTCTTCAGTCCGGCGTTCCTGGTAGTCTGTCGGCTGAAACGTATAACGTGAAGTGGGCACACTTTGAACAAATGAAATTTTATTTAAAGATCATGTCGACGCCATTCCCGACGGAAATGAGTTTTCACGTAGACCAAATAAAAGAAGAGCAAATAGACATCTCGGAAGATACACCGTCGCAAGACTCGAATACTGTACTAGAAGAAGATACACCTCCCGCGTCGATTACTCCTTCGTGTGCCGAAAAAGGATTCGAAAGTATAACAGGATCGCCTCTCTCGGAATTCGAGAAACAATTTATCGAGCTAGAAAACAGAAAAATGCGGTTCCTGATGGATAATTCGATGGCATCAACGTCACAGGAAAATTCACAGGACGACGAAGACATGTTATTTGTTAAATCGTTAGTTCCATTTTTCAAAAATCTGCCCCCGTTAAAAAAGCTTATTGTACGAAATAAAATTCAAGAAGTACTAATCGCAGAGATGCGAAACGAAGAAAACGACAAATTAAATAACTTTACATAAACATACGGAATTATTGTTCCTTTGATTCTCTTTTAATTGTTCCTTTAATTTCCTTGACTTCTAAATCTATCGATTTATCAAACTTTTTTTGGGGGAAAATTGAAAAAAAGAACTTTCATAAATTTTATTTTATAGGGGGCGACCAAAGACGCCAGTTTCCTGAATGTAATAGATACTTCACTGGCGCAGCCATGACGCTTCAAACACTGCGCATACGCGTTATTCGTTTATCGCGTCTGCGTATAACTTTCTTAAGATTCACACGGAGGAAAGTGGAGGGGATTAATGGTATCGCTGTTGGAAACCAACCTTTACGTTCCTAGGTATTTTTTCATATTTACAACACGTTTGTTTATTGTTTAACAATGATACAGTCCTCAGCGTTTTTAAGATCAGCTTGTGTTTACGGGCGATTGATGCAACGGGTGTCTGTTAAAGTTGACACCACAATCAGACATTGCAGTAAAATTACATATAAAAGAGAAAAGAATCACTTGCAAGTAAACAAATCTGTGAAATATCCTGATTACAAAATAATCTATTCTTTTCCCTATGTACGGTACACCAGTTTTTTGAATGTATTAAAGCGTAATCAAACTATCGTAACTGGAGCGTTGATACCAATATTTGCAGGTTTACAATTGCTAAATATTGTTTCGATGGATGATAATCTGTCAGTTATAGTTACCAGTAAGTTATTTATATGAAACTTGGATGTTTCGGTACAGTAATATACTCCCAAGTGTATATGGCAACACGATCAGAAAAATGTGTAACGCACTGTTTCTTTCAGGTTGTTCGATTACTCTAGCACTACATATTCCTGCCTTGCTGTGCAATAATCTCGTCGGTGTTATATACTTTAAAGAGGACGATCAAACTGTAATATTATCGTACTTAAATTACTGGGGTACAAGGGTAGATTTAAAGACCGATGTTGCAAACATTACACCATTATCGGAGACACCTCTAAATATTAATCATAGATTTTATAGAATATTAAATATTAAATCACAAAAAGAAAAATTGAAACTGTACATCCTGCATGGAGACATTCACGAAAGGGTAGATTTCGAAACTGCTTTTGGTATTTCAAGGGACGATTTATATTAATTATTTATAGCTGCTATTTATTTAGGGAATTACGTACTCGGACAAGTACAGAGATTGAAAATAATTTTGTATTAAATACGAGATTTTTTAATAAACAATCTTTATCTTTTACTTGGTCCACCTAAAGTGAGCGTAAGCACGATTCGCTTCGCACTGTCTATGCAATTCTTGTTTACGTTTTACTGTCCGACCCTGAAATAGAAATAACTTAGAATTATTGTAATTAAATAAAGAGTACGATGTCCTACGATTTGCAAGGTATTTCATTTAGTGCCATAAATTATTTTCGATATTATGTACCTGATTGTTAGAGGCTTCGATAATCTCTTTTGCCAATACTTTGTGGAAACGAGTATTCGGGTCCTTTTCTTTCGCAGTTTGGATTAACCAGTTCATAGCTAAAAAGTTAGCTCTGACGTTGTGGATTGGGATAGGGACCTATAGATAACGTTAAAAATATTTGCGAGTTTATCAGTTCTCCCATAAATCTAAAGAAAAATGCATTCGTACCTGATAATTAATTCCACCTTTCCTAATTTTCTCTAGTTCCAAAACTGGCGTACAATTCTCTATGGCACGATGAAAGAGTACTAGGGGATCCAATTCGATTTTCGCTTTGCCCTCAGGCGAACTCCTATTATACCGTTCTAATTGTGTAGTTTTAATATTTTCAAAGGTTTGCTCCAGTAACTTTCTGGCCAAATCCTTGTTACCTTCCCGCATAATGTAATTTAAGAATTTCCTAATAAACGTATGTTCTCGTTAATATTATTTACAATTCGTTCTACTTTTTTATTCAATTGAAAATTTAATCGACTACCTAACGGATGGATCGTAAAATTCGGATGAAGTTTGATGCGTGGTAGCAGGTTTTATAGGGACATGGCGTAATTTCTCGTTCTCTTTGGTTTCGTACAATATTTCTTGTTCCTCCTTCTTATAAACTGGCTTGACGTATGTAGGTGGGAAAACGCTATAAAACTGGATGACATTTGTTGGATTGTGCCTACAAAGTAATATCGTTACTACTAATTTCTAAAAAGTGCTTTTTAAATCTTAAAGATAATATAAATTCATGGTTACAACGTAAGCATAAATTACGCAAAGTTACCTGGTTAAGTCGCGCAAGATTAACAAGTTGAATGTTCGAGGGAAAGCCATTTTGTACGTTTTTGTTAATTAATTTATTTTTACAGTGGCTTATGTTTACATCATCTAATAACAAAAATCAGAGCTAGCCTTTGCGACAATAGTAAGAGAAAATTGTAGGTTAGTTGACGCAAGATGGCTGCCGCTCGCGCATGCGCCGTTCTTGGCACCAATAAAGTATCTAATTTAAATTACGGGTATAAAATAAGATTAAACAAAGCTAAGATTGCTACATATACAACGTTAATAAAGTATGTTCTAAATATTATCGTAAACATTATAAATATTCCATTCGCTTAGCGGTATTAATCTTAATTGCATTTTGAAGCTCGGTTTTTCATAATGAAGACATTAAACGTAATGAACTGTAGAAATATACTTTATTAAATACTTATGTAAATACGTCTGAATCACCATAGCTATCAAACTTATTGTTATTTTCTGTTTTAACAATGAATGATTTTAATTTGGATAATAATTTCTTATTAGACACGCTCCCTTCTATCAGAATACACTGCTGATCCTCATTTTTATTTTCTGTTCAATCATTTCCTTGTAACGGATGAATATATTATTATATAAGTCACGTCTTACAAAATGATACAATTATTTATATCGCAGTTTTGGTACCATGGCCTATAAATCTTCTATTTGTTTAGGTAATTCTTCTATGTTTGAGGGCGATTCTGTGTCGACAGACTCCTTCGTATCTAGTGCTTCTTCGATAACAACATCTTTATCACACTTTGGGCATACGTTGAATTGCTTGGCGCAAGGTGTGCAAACATTATGGTACGCGTACTTAACAGATTTCTCTTCGCATTTTATACACTTCGACGGTGCTTTCAACGGTTTATATTTCTTATACTTGATTTTCCATTGTATTATTTCCTTACACCTTTCGCATACGTTCTCGAACTCGACTTTGTTAACAACTTTCTCGTTGTACGTCTTGTCGTGCAGGTCATTTTTAAAAACTGTACGATTTTTGTACTTCTGTGGCCTCGAACGGTTCGTGTTGCCTTTTTGCGTACTCATATTTTAAGAGGTTTATCGAAATAGGTTTAGTAAATTACATGCTGCTGTCATTTTAGTATAGCGAGTAAACATAACCTACATTATTAATAACCAGAAGTACAAATATCGATAGACAGGTATCTATCTAGTAACTTGTTCGCTCACTAGAATGCAAAGTTACTAGAACAAGTTTCTAGGGATGTTGCGGATTGCTGAAAATGAGCAATCCATCTAAATTATAACAAAATTATAACTAAAATTATGACTAAAAAACAGTTTTTGCGATCATTCATTGTTTCCTATAGCTACAGCATAGCGCGCTCAGCTTTTTTCCAAATCTGGTAACATTGAAAGTAACTAGCGCGTCCCCACCAGTGACACCAAGATGGCTGCCACTCGCGCCTGCGCACTCTCTTCAATATGGCTGCCCTCATACGCGCCAATTTTAAATATCTATTACAGCTATCTAACATATTATTACATAGAATATTTTTATTACGTTTTGCATTATCATCATTCTTAAATTATTTCGTTGCTACCTTAAAACGAGTATTTACATGGATCCCGAAATACACAATTTGTAATATTCGTACGAATATATGAATAACAATTAAAATTACCCTCCCTCTTTTTTCGTGATATTTAGTTTTGAATCTTATCACACGTGGCGCTATGAAAATTGCATTAACTATCAGAGAATCTTTATTTACGATGCTTCTCCTTAGTCTATGGCAGACGCAGTTGTAGCGGACTAATAAACATTGAAAACAGGTTAACGAATTGTTTTCTTTTGGTAATACATGTTTGATTGCTGTCACCTACACTTCTGGATATTTAAACTTTTCTAACAGTCGTCGCAATGACATCAGCAATAGAATCCATGGTAGTGGACGAGAAGCAGTTACCAGAGAAACCGATAGACAGAGAAAAAGTATGCATGATCTTTACAATCTTCAAAATATTTGTTCTTTTATACTAACTTAGATAACATCGAATTTTCAGACGTGCCCACTTTTATTACGAGTATTTTGCAACACTGGCAGGCATCACAATATAATGGAATACAGCAGAGGAAACGTTCCTTCGAACGAATTGCAAATATACACATGGTAATCATTCTAATCTGCTAATTCTGATACTGATAATATAATATAATTACTTTGGGGTTTGCACTATCCTATGTTGCTTGTCATACAATGTTTGTTTTGCGTTAAAAGGATGGATGCGACTTTAAGAGAGATCACAGGATTAGTCAAGGAAGTCAATCCAGATGCTCGGAATAAAGGAACGTATTTCGACTTCTCCCTGGTCACTCCAGAACTGCGTAACTCTGGGTATCGTATGCGTGAAATCGGTGTTACTTGTTCGGGACAGAAGGGTGCGGATGATAACAAAACGCTTGCGCAAGCGAGGTATGCATTCCTTTGTTAGACCTAAGGTGTTCCTGTGGAAAAGAAAATAATCGTGGTTATTTGTATAATTACAGATTTATTATTGGCGACTATTTGGATATTTCCATTACGCCGCCCAATCGGCAACCAGCGATTAGACGTGGCACGCTACGACAATATTGACTTAAACGATAGTAATTTAAGCTTTTGTAAGATACAATAATTCGTTACTTTTCCATTAATAAACGATATACTGTGCAGAAACTATTACAATGTCATTATTATTACACTAAACATTTCTTTAGTATCGTAACTGCCGCTGCATTCAGTGTGCTTCTTGACAAACAAAACATTTTTAGTACTCTGAATATTGTTTCTAAAGTTTCAATCTGTTAACCATTTGTATTTTGGCATTTTACACATTTTTGTGTCATTTTTTAAAACATCTACAAGAATGGAGGATAAAGAAAATAAAGTGCCAAGTTGTCTGGTAAAAGGTGAGTCTTTTAATAATATATACCTATGTTGTTCCTATAGTTTCAATCTGGTAACCATTCGTATTCCTGCATTTTACACATTTTTGTGCCATTTTTCAAAATATCTCACGCTATAAGAATGAGGAGGGTGAGTAATGTTATCATGAATTATTGTCACATTGAATTACACATAACAGTATTATTAATTTTAATCCAGGTCCTGGTCCAGTATATAAATTAAGGCCTTTAGTTGGCTACGAACACCATTGTCCATCTCGACGAAGGAATCCAGCATACAGTATACGTCATCGTACCGATATTCACATACCAAGTGTTGGTCCTGGACCACGATACAACGTTTCGAAGCTAACTAACTATGGATTGGACAACCCACCAGCGTTTACGATAGCTTCCAGGAAACCTTTCACAGGTGTGCATATTGTTTACGTAACACAAAAATGGTTTACTCGAATAATATTTGGTCATTTTAATATTAACTATATTTTTCAGTGAGCGATTCAGGCCCAGGGCCAGGAGCACACTATCCAGAAATGTGCCCGCCGATGAATCATTCCATCAGAGCTCCAGCTTACAGCATTAAATCTAGAAGTAAAACAAAAATTGTCGATGACAGTCCTGGTCCAAATTCCTATTATCTGCCAACGTGTATAGGTCCCAAAATCCCTGATAAGAAGGCTTTAGGTGCATTTACTATGTATGTATGCAGATTTGGTATTGTATCTTTTCTGTCAATCAAGATTCAACAATTACATTCTGTCGTTACAGAGGTGGTTACCACGAACTTGGACAGAAACACATTGGCCCTGGTCCAGCTGCTTACGTAAACATTAGGACTGATATTGTCAAGCGTAGTTCTCCAGCATTCAGTCTGAAATGGAGAAGCAGCCTGGCGGAGATAGATTTCAGTCCAGGACCGAAATACTATCCACAATATATTGGAAGGGATGCACCGATGTACTCTTTTGGTATCAGGCACAGCGTATGTGTTGGTCTACCTATCACAGAGTTAGACGAAGAGTGATGCTTACGAATGACTGAGGAGCTACAGTGACCTATTGTATTGTATTTATAAAATAATTTTATACAAGTATTTATTGCAAGTATTGTGATTTTGTACGTAGTATTTTAAACGTTTGAAATATAAATTTATATTTTGTTACGACGCGTCTGAGTGGATTTTATTTGGTCCTATTGGAAACATCATTATTGATCAAACATAACAGGTACGGATGAGACGAAAACCACATCATGCATCGCTTGAGTACTGTGTAATAAAAGGATTAGTCATAGTCATTTGTAATAAAGTGTTTCTGAGAAATCTGTATCTGTGCGTAAGAAAATTGTATAAAAATGATGAGAAAAGGGAAAAGTAAATCCAGCAAGCTGGCTCGAATGAATGAAGAAGAACGTGCACGTTACATGCAGTGTCGTGCTGAAGTTGAACTAGAAGCTAAGAGACGTAAACAGCAATTGATCGCTATTTTCACTAAAGTATTGAATATCGATTAGTATTAATTGCCAAGAATTAATCGCTTTTTCATTGGATTATTTTTAACGCTGAGTTATTACAGAATAAATTGAAACGCGAGGAAGCATATTCGAGATTGAATATCGCCAAAATTAACGAGAAATGGAGATTCGTCTTGAGACAGATAAAGTTTAGAGAGATCTATGATAACGTGAACCATCTCTGCGAGTCCTTCGGTAGGATGGTCAAATTAAAAGATGGAATAATTAGCAGATTGCACGATGAACTAAAAATAGCAGACGAGGAGCACAGGAGGCTGCAAGAAATTCATATTATCTTAATTAACGATACAATCGGTACACCATCGTTTCGTTTCTATTGCTACTTGCGAGTTTACCGATGCGACTTAATTCCTTTTATGAATTTTACATAGCGAGATACAAACAGAAATTAAAAGACTTGTACGATACGTACAAGCTGGATAGCGTCAAGTCTGATAGCTTGGTCGAATTGCGTCTTTTGCAAAATTCTATGAAAAAGATTAGCAAAGATATTCAAACGAGTATAAGTAAAAGGGAGAGAATTTTAAGCGGCGAGGAATCTGCGAGGAAAACACAGAATGCCATCAACATTCACAACGTCTTATTTTTGGTAATAACTAGACTGCGGATTTTATCCATTTATGATATGAACTAATATAACAAATACATGCTAAACATTAACGAAAGATATGTGCAATTGTGCACTTATGCGAAATGAAGTTACAATATTATTATTGTAATTGCAGAATATATTCAAGATGTATTAAATATGTTGAATATATTAAATTAGTATAATAAATACATGCTATAGATGCACTTATGCAAGATGAGATAACAATATTATAATAATTGTAGAGTACATCCAACATACATTATCATTTCTATTATATTATTGTACGTCATAAATGCATAAAATCCACAATCTAGTAATAACATTAGCATAGAAGGTCGAGCAGTATTTTACAACTAGATTTGTTAAATTATAGGAGGGCAACGTGGCATCGAATCTCGTGCATCGATCGCTGGTAAACATGGAAAACCTTTGGGAACAGTTAAACAAAGTATTGACTGAATACGAAAGAATGACTAGGCATAAAATAAAACAGTACGAATATCTAAAAGGGCAAGATAATATTCATCAGCTGTATGTATCGCAGTATCACAAAGTACATTTGCAACTGCAAAATGTTGTCGAAAGCTTGAAGCATGATACGCAAGCATTGTCATCGAAGAGGGAAAGTGAAATATCAAAGTTGCAAACGAAAGACATAGATTTAAAGAAGAAGATAAGAAATGTTAAGCAACAATTTACTGCGGTACAAACGGTGGATCTTTTACAGTTAAAAAAATTGACCGTAACCAGCAATGATGTTTTATTGGTAAAAAAGAAAATGAATATTTTTATATAATACAGTTTTCTCTGTATAATATTCTCTTTATTCGTAGAACTTGCGAAGGAGTATGAAAACGGGCACTACGATCCTCGAATTAATCGCGATATGTTCTGCTTTGGAACCATTTCTTTTCAACCTCAAGAAATATTTTGTGCAAGATACAGTACACGAATCCTTGTACTCTACTGTAAGGTATTACGAGATAAAGAAATGTTTACTGATATTTTAAACTAAACAAACTATTTCAGATACCTAGCTCGTGCAGTACGATCGATACATTCTGGAAACAGTATAATCATATCACAGCGAACAACATTTTATTAAAAAGGACGCATAAGAAACTGTGCTTAGAGAACAAAAGATTAAGATACAAGTTACGAGGGTATCTCGTGATGCTGTCTGGAGTACCAACGACGTGTTCAGTCGTTACAGCTTTAATTTAAGTAGGTTATAAGTAGACTGCGGATTTCATGCGTTTGCGAGGCAATTATTAATATCGTTACATTAATTAATAAAATGCATTCTACGTACACTATGTATATTTTTGTACGTTTTCAATATCAGTGTACGTAAATGGATAAAATCCGCAGTCTAGTTATAAGTCATATAGAAAATATTAATAAAGTATTTCACGCGAATGGATTCGTATATTATTTAACATTATTATCGATGAATAAAGATTCCACCACCTAATTCCAAATACTTGTAAGGTCTGGCGCGAGTACGACCCTTGACAGGATAAAAGAAAATCTTTTCCTTCTGTACCAGACCTTCCGTTTCCAAATAAACGTCGAAGCAAGCTCTTAATCGTTGGAGTTGCGCGGACAACGTCGGAGGTTTTATCCACATGACGTTCACCTCCCTCTCGATATCCCTCAGGATATCTGCAGACGCAGGCGCCATGGCGCTCACGTTGAACACTGGCGTTATTTTTGGATAATCCGGCTTGATAGCTATCCTTGCGATCAACTCATCTGTAACGGATACATAGTGAACTAGTACATAGTGAATTCTTATAAGATTCTTATAAGATTTCGAAATGTCTTACAGCTTTCTCGTCTAAGCGTAGCTTCGTAAAATATGTCCAACGGGGACACTATCCCTTGCTGTTGAAAAGTAGGATTGGCGGACGTGGAATAATTGGTCCACGATATCGTCGTGAACTTTAGTAAAACTGTATTGAGCTTCTGCGGTAGGGGATCGTTCGTGCTGGTGAAAATCGGCAAGTTCCCAGACTCCAACTGCTGGATCTCCGTGCATAGTTTCAATCTTGCTTTCACGCGTCTCTTGATCTCTCTTAGCACACTCTCGACGCTGTCTTGCGTTGTTTCGCTACTCGTGATCTATGAAATATTTATTTAATTCGATTAAGCACGTGAGTAAATACTCATACAAAAATACTTGTCGCTTTTGCACTAACGCTTTTGTATCGAAGTTTGCCTACCTTTTGTTCCCGAATATCAGGCGAGATGAAGTGAATGCCAGCCATTCTTTGCGCCCATTTGTACGGGATTCCTAATCCAAGCGATGAAAATTGGCCCAGATTGTGCCGACTTAATTGATAGTGATTGGCAGGGTTCGGACTCTCCATTCCCAGATCTCTTGGATACAGTTCCCGTAGAATCGATTCTGATACAAGCATATCTCTGCAAGAGATTTAACGATTACACAAGAGTACTAACGTTTGTATAGTTACCACGAAACGTTCTGTACCCAGTGCTGCTGCCTCCGACACCTTCAGTTTTCAACCTCGATTCCACCGTGACCACCTTCAGAAACATTATATAATAAAACTGCAATGTCAACTTTGTTTCATCTGAAAAAAAAAAAAAAAAAAAAATGTTTCAAGTAATTCGTTGCATACTAACTACTATATATACTAACTACCTTGCTCGATACTAACTTTTTATTTTGATAACTATTTTCACGTTCAAGGGATGCTTCTGTAGCAGCTTCGACTTCTTTTCTTCTTGTCTAGCTTCCCTGGATAATCTATGATGCCTCTTTTTGTGAACAGGAGCTTCTTCTATGACGTTCTCGGATAAATTTTCAGGGTCTGAATCGGATTCTTGCAATCCGTCTTGGTTGTTCGCGCGTTTCGCTTCTTCCTCGTCGCCTTCCACTTTTACCGTTATAGTGTTGTCTAAGGTAAAGAGTATTTATGAATATGTATCGAGTAGGGTTCTAACACAGTATAGCGTACCATAAGCATCTCTGTACGCGCATGCTTTCGCGTAAAGAACATACAACGGCGATGCTAGCAACGTCGCTTTGTGGTGCTCCTGCCTAATCTTTTCTAACGGCAAACCAAGACTTTCTTGTAGCTGTTTACTTGTCTGGAAGTTGAATAATTATTTCCATTTTAATCGGTTAAAATAATACTATGCTGTAAAAGTATAAAAGTTACTTCTAATATAGAGTACAGTTGCGGTGCAAGGTTGTCCAATCGTGATTGCTTCAACTCTATGCTCGACGCTACCGCCTTTTTACTTCCTGTCAATTCGTCGCACAAGACAGCCAGTTGTTTTCTTTGTGTTAGTTCCCATTCTAATTGAGCTAGTCTCAGTTGATGAGGGTTATGTTTCGTTATTTCCTGAAAATGTTAATCTATAATGCATCGAATACAAGCTTTACGTATTATTCGAAGTGGTTCTTCATACCGGTCTAGAAATACTTTCGGGTGCGTGCTTATAAAATTCTTCTTCAGACACAAGTTGTATCAATTCGTCTTTGGATCTGCAAATGGTTATATTTGTTTTTATTATACATAAAATAAGTTTAATGGAATGTTTAGAACGAACCACACGTACTTAAATTGAAGACATTTGATAACTTCCTTTTTCAAGTGCATCACTTCGTATAATAAATTCTGTAAATGTAGATGTCTGCTATCGACGGTGCTTTTTGACGATATAAGAGAATCCCTCGCGAACTTCGTCCGAAACTTTTCCATTCTATTCAATTTCTTAAGTTCGATAAACGCCAACGATGTCTGAATTTGCAGCTCGCGTATTTCGTCTTTAGCCTGAAGAAGGAAGAATTCTGTAGTGTTATTCTAACCTCGAAAGAACGTACGAATTAAACAAATTTTGTTAAATGAAATACGAACGCTTGCATCTCCATTGCCTTTCAGTTTCGCTATTTTATTCATAGCCTTGCGTATACTGTCGCAGGTGGATAGAAAGCTTTCGGAATCATTTTCTGGTAATCTCTCGGTAGCTTCTTTCTCCTCGAAGCTGATTATAACCTATACGTGAAACATGTTTGTATTTAGTATCGAGAACAATTGTTATAGAGACTAGATACGTACTTTATACATGTCTCCATCCTTAACAGATATCCCAGAATTACCACTGACTGATTTTCTTCTCTTCTTTGGATTGTCGGAGTCATTTTCTTTGCCCATTTTATGATACTAGGCAGTATGTGTACTGAATATGTTTACCAGGTGATGGTCACAACTTTTTACTCAGTTACCAATCAGAGCGTGTGGCAACTGCGCACCCCGACCAATTAGAGCACGTGACGACTGAGCTCCCTGACCAATCAGAGCGCGAGAATTTTACTTCCAGCTGTAAAAGAGCAACGCAAGATGGCCGACGTCCCCCGCTTGCTTCATACCGTACCACATCCTTTGACGCCAATGCCCGGTCCTTATATTCCTATATGATGCTTATAAATATTAAAATATCATATCGAATTTATAAGCATACAATATACTAATCAAGAATTGCCTCGTCTAAAATAACATCCTACTTCGACTCATGATCGATCATCATAAGTCGCGTACGATGTTTCTATTACTTTTCGAAATCCAAGATTTTCAGATCCCGATGAATTTTTGCAAATGGTCAAGCGTATAACTAAGGTCCCAACCATAAGCACGTGCTCCCAAAAAAGGCATTCGGATATTTCAGTTTATTTAATTAAAATATACAGTTTTTAAACGCGATCACACATTTGTTCGAGTTCGCCTTCTTCGACCTATTCTTAACCTGAGATAAATCGCTATAAATTTGTCGCTCTCACTGTACATTCCTGTATCCGTGATAAATACTTTGCTTCACGTCCAACCACCAAAACGGAACCATTCTGTCGCTTTAATTCTCCTAAATGTAATAACATTTCTCGTGTATATAAATAAACGCTAGCAAAGATTTTTTGTTTTATTTCATCTCCTATGAGCGTGACCATCTACACATTATTTTTTACACGTACGTAGACAATTTATAAATAATATGTGTATTGCATATGCACGTATATATATATATATATGTATACACACACACACATACACGCTTGTGTATATGTATATCTACATATATACTTATATATTTATATGTATATACAGTGCCACTTTTATTGCATGCACCAAGAAGAGATGGTTTACATAATTCGAACATGATTTTCGTTTTGTGGAACGTGTGACACCAATTGGAGTTACTTAAATATACTACTTTTGTCGATTTAGAGAAACATAGTTTCTTCTTGGTCCATGGTACGAATACACTTCATATATATACATATATATACATCTAAATGGTAACTATTGTAGGCACGTGTCATTATTTATATCATATACTTTTCCCTACTCTTTGATATAACTCCGCACTGGCTATGATGAAACGTAAAAATATAAAAATATTAGTAAATTCATATAAACGTATCCTAATATATATTTCCTTATTTTTTTTTTTTTTTTTGTTGCTTAGATGATCAAACGTTCCCTGGACATAGCAAATCCCTTTACGTTACACATATATATTATATATACAAGACGTCTTTCAGCAGCAGTCCAAAAATTATATTAATCATTAACGTATCATTCAAATTCAAAATAAAAAATGCAACACCTTTGTTGCACAATATGTAGCTAGTGACGTACCCTAAGCATTTACATTACAAAACGCAAAGTTTTCATGTAAAAGTGAATTCACTACGTCCTTCGATCATTCCCATTATTAATAAAACACGGTTAAACGAACGTTCAATCTAAATCGTCCTGAAGTACATTTTATGCACAGTGCCAACTATCTGCAAACTTTAAATTATCTTGAAGTAATACCACAAGTGGAAAAAAATTGATCTCCTAAAAAAAAAGAAAAAAAAAAAGAAGAAGTGAATCGATAGTTCCTACAGTTTCCACGATCACTGTACATTAGGGTGGTCTTTATTTTAATGATCTTTTAGACCTGTGTTACACATCCCTTAAATACCTTGCAAATACATATGGAAATGGAAATTTGATAAAAAAAAAAAGTAATCGATGGAAAATGATTGATCTATGTATTTTCCATTTATATTTTTTGAAGGTTTGGTGCACTTGTTAATATTAACATTAAAAGCTCTGCAAAGGATATTTCTCCTTATGTATTCGCAAGGTATTTCTGGGGATGCGTAACACAGATTTAAAAAATCATTAAAACAAGAACCAACCGACTCTAACATTTCTACAAACGAATTTGTCATTTATGTAATTTATTCAACCGTTTTTAGATTGCTTTAAGCATAAATCTGAACTTTGTATAATAAAGGTTTTGTTGGTTCGTACCAGTCGCCACTGAAGATTCCCCTGGCATCGTTAAACGAGTAATTAAACACATGCAATGGTAGCGGAATTATGACCAGTGTTTACCACCGTAAGATTCCCTTGGGATTTTGTGCTGATCTCTTAAAAAATTACGCGTAGAAGTATAACGATTACAAACGAATCTTCGATAGCTGACTCGTGCCAACTTCCAAAACGGATTACGTACCTACTACTAGATATTTTAATTTTAAGCCTTACAATATAAGCAATTTATATCCTTTGTTTACTTAACGACTCGTTAATTCCTTTAAAGACATTTTCTCGTAGAAGGCTAACATTCAAAGGAATCGTTGAGAAAAAGGTAATTTCTACAAATTCACATATACACACCTTCGACACAGGACATTCTCTACTTCTTCGATTATCACACATTTTTATACATATATATTCATGTACTTTCTTAAATTCCCTTGTCTATAATCTTTAAACATGATACGAGGATATTAGAAAGCAATAAAATAATGGAAGGAGTCTTTCTCTAACAATTATTCCGTTGACTCTACGAAAGTGAAGGTGGGCAAGGATATAATCAGAATTTTTATGATACATCTTGCTAGTAGGGGGAAAAAAAAAAACAACAACAACAGCAACACCGTTTCACTCGAAACCGAGAATCTAATCGTGCTGCGGAGTGAGAAAGGCTTGTTGGACAACAGTTAAACATTGCAGCATTGTATGAAATCCATATCAGGCCACGCTTGACGTTATTGGAAATCGTCTATGTCTATATTATTGCTAGCCGTTATTTAAATGTAAAAGTATGCAAATATGTAAAATATCTATTTTTCACCCGTGACGTGCCATGGAAGTCGTAAATTACCTGTATCGATGACAAACTGCTGCCACGCTTAATGTTTACATGGTGTACTTACTATTAAAAGAGAACAATTTAAGGGCAGGCGGACGCTACGTTACAAACGATAAAAGAAAAAAAGAAAAATGTACGCTTTCTATGAAACGGTTGGTCCATCAAATGCAAATTCAATTTTCGCGGTGTCTGGAAAGTCGCGAGAGAGGTGCGAATAAAATCCTTGTCTACAGCACGTTTGCACTTATATGTTTCAAGATAAAATGCAACAGTACAGACGAGACGATCTTGAACAGGATACCTTTCATAGAAATGGAAAGTAATACGCAAAGAATAAACACGTCGAGGGTACAAGACGATACCCTGTGAACAAGTAACGTACAATTAAATTGTGTCATCCTACCTCATTTGCCGAGTCGTTTGATGCGCGATCGCGTGCTCAACGACCTAGCGCTCGGATTGTAAGGCGACTTGACTCTCTTAGCCATCCCAGAACTAGGGTTACACCCCGCGTTCGTTGGGCTGATCGTGGAACAAGCTCCGTTCCCAGTATTGTTGCTAGTTTGCTTGATACTGGACGTTAGGGAGGACGATCTTATTCTACTCGACTGTAGAAACCCGTTGTTATTCGGCTGCTTTAATTTGTTTGGCAAAGAGAGCCGATTCTGCTTTACTAGTCCGTACTGGTGTACTAATTGTGCGGATATCGTGTGGCCAGTTATGTCCACGTTACGCGAACGCAGAGTTTTTACGGGAGTCGCTGCAATCGTGTCCGACCTAAAAGAATATACAACAATTTTATATGAAGATTATTAAAAAATAGTTGTTCACCCTTCCTCAGGTGAGGGTAGAATTGCAAGACCTTTACAGATTTCGTTTCTGTTTAAGAAAATGTGCTACTATATTCGATACTTTTCTTTTGGATACGTATGATCAAAGTTTCATTGTTAGAATATAAAGAGTTTTGGAAAAATTGGTTGCAAGTAAGATTGTAACTAGGAGGAATTCATATGCTTTACAGTGTTACTTATTATCCCAGAGAATAATTGTTTTAATATTTCTTGCATCGAATGGAAAATTTCTATTCGTAGGAAAGGCGTACTTGTTAATATTAACATTCAAAGCTCTACAAGGATATTTCTCCTTATGTATTCGCAAGGTGTTTCTGGTGATGCGTAACATAGATTTAAGAAATCATTAAAACAAGAACCAACCAACTAGTAAGAATTCTTTACATAAGAAAGTTTTAGTAAGCATTACACTGAAAATTTATTGAAAATTCAATATGCGTTTTTGTGTAAATTAAAAATATAATTACTTTAGATAAGCTCAATTGGAAAAAGATAATATCCATAATATAATATCCATCCATGGGGAACCCTATAACACTATACTGTCTTCCGTACGCTACCATTGTGCTGCAATCTTGCTCGCAAGCAAGTTTCGCAAAGTCTTTATTGTAACAATGAAACTTTACTAGTATAGAAAGTGTACAAGTGTAGGAAAATCTGAGAATGCGTACAAATGCAAAAATATATAAAATATCAACGTCAGAAGATAAACCATGTTTCCATTTCAGTTTCTTATTCTTTCTGTTCTCCATCCGTGAAAATATCAATTTGCATAAATTAAAAAATCGTAATTAAAAAAGTATCGAGTGTCTGCCCTCACAACACAATATTTTCTTAAACAGGAGAGCTAGTAAACGAACCTGAGCCATCGTTGGGGAACAGTGGTGCTATCCGAGGAGCCTATGATGGACACGGTCCGATTTATCCTCCGCTCGCTGCAACCGGTCGACCTGTTGCTTCTCCCCTGATCCCACTCTCTCGCGCCGAGACTAGCGACCCACAGTTGCTTCAATAGACCCTTGATGGAGGGCCTCCGTATAGCTTTCACAGGCGTGGCTTTTTTCCCCAAACTTCTTTGGTAAGTGTTTAACGAAGAGAGCCTTTCCTGGATGGGTACAGTGGTGGTGCTTCCCGCGGATCGAGCGATGTTGGACTCCGCGTTAGGCCAACTGCCGCTGGCATCCTTCGTGGACTGATTCGCCGGATCGTTCTCGTCGACGGGATTAGGTCTATCTTCGGACCTCGTTCTCCTCTTCGCGCAGGGTTCTTGTAATACTCGTGGCTCCTCTGTACCAATCACGCCTTGCGATATTGCACTATGTCTTCGCTTGGTACTGATGTCGGTCGTTTTACTCGCAGAGTTCCTCGCATCCTCTTCCATGGTCTTTCCCGTTACGGACATCTTCGTTCCTCGAGATTTAAACCTCGAGTTAACGTACGTCTTCGTTTCCAGCGATCCTGGCTCCGCGATGGCGTTACGCGAATGGGAATTCAAGCTATGCCTCCTACTCCTCGCGTTTCTGGCTTCCGTCCTCGAGGCAGAGAACAGTATGTGCTGTTTGTGATGCGATCCGTTTAAAAGCTTCCCCTTCGCCTCGTTTTCGCTGCACGTGTTCCCGGAGGCCACCTCGCTGCTCTCAAAATTAGTACCAACGTGAGAATGTACGTTATCACATTCACCAGAAAATGCACTTTGGTGTATCACATTCGAAACATCGTGGTCGTTGCTCCCATCTTTCGATTGCTGCGACGTTAGACCATCCTGATCGATCGGTGTACTAGCTGCTTCCGTCTTCTCCTCTTTATCGAGACTCTCGACTTTCTCCAACGGGACTGTTTCTAATTTTAAATTATCTAGCTCTACAGTTTTCTCGACTATTTCGTGGGATATCGTTTCCGTGACTTTGAAACCGTTTTCCTCGAAGGACTCGTCGCCGCTTGCCTCGTCCTTCGACTGGTGACTTATATCGAGATTCTCCGTGAGCGATACTTTCTCTAATCTCGAATCTTCCTTCTCCTCGATTCCTCTCGAAAGGTCTGGCTTTCTGAAGTCGATGTTCAGATTCGCTGGGGGTCTTGGTATGCCGGGAACGACCGGGTCGCAGGCAGGTTTCTCTATGCTCGCGGTATCGAGTGCAGCTGCGGGCGTGTGGATGCTGTGATGCGTTAAGGCACATTCCTTCTGACTCAGTAGAACCTAAGAAAATTAAGATTTTAGCGATGATGTAAGTTGTCTAACTTAATCTTGAGCTTCTTTAATTAAAGAATAGGTACCTCGCTACGAGATGGACCTGGCGGATCCAACATTAACGTTACAACGCTCGTATTATCAGCGCGTAATCCTTTCTCTAACCACGTCTCTAACGCTCTATCTACTAGACTCTTCGACGGATTGATCCACAATTGAACATTATCAGCTTGCTGTTCAAACAATCACAATGTCATCGTTAACTCAAACATATCGAATACTTAAATCATTGGCGTAAACATGTAATTGAAACACACTTCGTTACACGTTTGCTGAGAAGCAATCAGATGTTTCTCGTTATGCCTGTCCGCTGCTTGAACAATGGCCACTGCAGCTTGCGGTGTCAACATGTTCCACAAACCGTCTGTCCCGAAAATAAGGCAACGATGTGACTCAACATCAATCGCAACGACTTTCACGTCTGGCTCAGGAGACACGACGAATGTATCCAATTCGGAATTGTAACTCCAAAGATCGCCTGAAAAATCCATTATGAATCCATTCAGATTGTGCATGGAAAATTAAGAATTTTATTGGTTTCACAAAGGTGGATAACTATGAAGATACATACCTAACGACCTAGCAACAGCCAGGAATGGGATTTCGTCTATATGAGTCGATCTCCGAACTGGCCCCTTGTGTCCTATACGAGGTCTGTTCCATACCACTCTCGGAACACCAGATTTACTGACTACTTTACCACCGGACTCGCGTATCCTCATCATCTCCGGTCCGCTTTCCGGCTTGTGGTCTTTGGTTAGAGCCTTAGCTCGCCATTCGGGATCGCTGTCTACTTGGTACCCCAGTATTATGCCGGAATCACCCACGTGGCCTATGTAGATCTTGCGTTTGCGAATAAATGCTATGCTGGCCGTTGTCCCAGCTGTGGATGGCAATCCAGAGGCAGTTCTCGGCCATTTGTCTGTTGCAAAAGTACAGTTGTCGTTAGATTCTTGTAGAGGAAATTAAATGCGTGATGATCGGCGAGAATTAATGATATAGTCATCTATTAAGTGTGTATGATATTGTTAAAGAAAGATGGGGCTTTGAAATGAGAACCGTAAGGAAGGTATAAACATGTATAGACTAATACATTTGTGGTGGTACGAACTATTGCCATTTCTTTGTATATAATGCTCAAAGCGGACTTGTTAATGAATAAAACTCAGGATACTTTTTCTTTTCATGAAGATGGATGCACAAGCTTGTATTTCGTTGTAGCTTTGAAAATCTGCAATTAATTCACGTTTCATGACTAAAACTCGAGATCCTTTTCCTTTCAACGAATATCTGCAAGCTCGTGAAAAATAAATGAAATGATTTAAACCGAATAATTTCGAAAAGGTTCCAGTTACTTGAATCGTCGTTTAAAAATCCCCGCCAATATTTTGTGGTACTAATAATATCAGTCGAAACTTTCAGGTTAGTTCTGGAGATTACATAACCTAAATTCTAACCTAATCAAGCACAGGTGGTGGGGGAAATACGCGGGACAATGACAGAAATTCTCGCGGAAAATAGGAATACTATGGATTTGCGAACGGATAGGTTCGCGGATTAATCGAATATTCCGAATAACGGCGGGAAAGCAGGACGGTAACGGAACAGGAAGTCCCTGTACGAGTCTCTCACCAAGCTCCCGCCACATCGCGTAGTGCGTGTTCACGTATCCGTCTCTGATGGCTCTGAGCACGTCCTCGTCCCGATCGCTCCAGAAATTTTTCTGCTTTACGATAACGTTCATCAGGTGCTCCTTGGCGAACGTGGCGGCTTCGCCGCCGCCGTGGCCGTCGAATATCCCGAAGAAGGCGTATTCCAGGTCTTTGTCATCCGGTGTGGACTGAAAGGCCACGCTGAACATGTCCTCCATGTACTTGCGACCGCCCTGATTGCAGTGTCCGGTCACTCTTAGGTTAACCCCGATACTCAACGGCATGGTGGTGCACGCCGACGGCAGCCGAACTGAACGGAGAAATTTTCTGGGTTCGCTACGCAACGGTTCAACGCGTACACGGGAACGGAAGCCTCGTATTTACTGGGCAGGTCCGCGCGTAGCTCGAGGGACGCACGCACACTCCAACGATCATGGCCCCACACGGCACAATGACGTTGCGTGCGAAGGAGAAGGGCGCTGCGATGCCAGATTCTGCTCCCCGCTCGCGCATGCGCGCCGGGGTGAGCCGAGCACGCAGGAGTGTAGTTACGAGAAAACGGTGCGGGGATACCGATCAGAGGGTCCCTCGATGATTTTACGAGGATTTTTTCGATCGGCTTCTGGACGGTGGTAGAGGTTTTTTTTACAACTTTTGTCTAAACAATTTCGTTCTATACGTTAAAAAATTCGAGTTGTCTTTTGATATAGATACGGAATTCTTGATTAACATTTGAAAAATCTGATTAATTTTCAAAAATTCCTAGCTCTCTTAATAATGAACATTTTCAATTGAAACTTCTTTTTCGTGTAGATCTCATGGAACCCTATAACATATACGAAATCTTTTTCTAAAGTGAATACCAAATTTTTTCAAGAATTCTCAAGCCCCCTCCCCATCTGTCGATTTTGGTAAGTAACTAAAACATTCCAGAAAAATTATTTTCCACTTTCTTGGTCAAAATGAAGCATTTTTCGTTAAATAATATATAAGCGTAATTTGTATAGTTTATGAGAAAAAAAAATGTCTAAAGATAAGAAGAAAAATGATTGAAAAAAAAATCGATCCTACGAAAAAATGTTTGAAACAAAAGTTGTACATCCCGACAAGATATGAAATTGTTGTCGAATATATTTTTTCAAGATGCGATTACTTTTCGAGATATTTTCGTTAGAACGTTTACATCTTTCGATGCACGTATTGAATGTTTTTTTCGTGAACAGTGAAAATTACGCTTGTGTATTGTTTAACGAAAAATGCTTCGTATTGACCGAGAAACTAAACAATAATTTTTACATAAAATTTAAAAAAAAAATGTACAACTTACATTCATTTAAAATATGATACCATAATATTTATAATGAATATAATTTATAAACTAAACGTAATAATTATATTAAAATTATATTAAACAAAAACTTGGATCTTAGCCCTAAAGCCTTAAAATTCGTTACGCTTCTACTCTATATTCGTTATACTTCTATTTTTCTGTGGAGGCGACTAAGGCGCCAGTTTCATTGTCGTGCTAGATACTTTACTGAGGCCAGAGACAGCGCGCATGCGCGAACGGCAGCCATCTTGGCATCGCAGGTAAGGCGAGAGGGGTCGTCTCCCCTCCGCGATTACCCGTCGCCAGCGCTCGAGCGACGTTTCTCGAGAATCTTCAAACGGAAGATTTTCGAGCGGGCTAAAGGCTCTTTCACACTAGCCAGACTCTGAAGTGTGGGTGAAAACTCTTATCTAGACGAGAGTTTCGCATAATTAACCCTAACTAACGATATGCTTCGACTTAGGCTTCTACAATTCCCGCGATATGGGTATTAATAACGTGGCATTCTCAAGTGAGCGCTCAACACTGGCCAGAGGAATCGTAGACGGCGCTAGTGTGAATGCTCAAGGCGCGACCATTGTAATTTTTTCTTTACATTGAATAATGCAATTACTCGTTGAATTACAAAAACGTCGGGTAAACGATCGAGGACGTATCTGAATTTAAAAATTTAATTTAAACGTTGGAACTTACAAAGATACCCGCCATTTTTGTTAGATTTACAAGTACCTTTTAAGTAGCGATATATTTATATTTTTAAGGTACGTATACTGATTTATGGCGTCCCTGAAGGGAGTATTCGGATAGTTAGGAGTTAACAGGAAACGCGGCCGGGAAATTTCCAAAAATTCTCCCTAAACAGCAATACGGTAACATTACCTCGGTTATATTACGCTCGCAAGCGACCGCACCACACGCTGAGCGGGATCGCTCCCCCCTCGCCTCCTAACCTATCTTCGCCGATCCCCACCGCCGTGGAAACTTTTACCCCCCATCCCCCACCCCGCCGCCCGGACACACAACAGACAACCGATCAACGTCGGTGCTATTCATGCCGCGCATCTCGACTCACGCAGTTGCTGTGTTGCCACGTCTTCTGCCTTCTAACTTGAACTTTCTTGTCCAGATCTCGACTTCGTCGAATTCTTTTCGAAATAACGCGTTTCAAAGAACGAATCTACAAGATACGACTCGTCGTATCGACTATACATTATTTAAGAACAGCAGAATTACACGCGTACGTATAATAAGGTTGAGAAACACGTTGGCATACTTTTTGGTAGCGTGTGCAATTTTGGTCATTGTTGGATTTAAGTTTCCCTCGCGGGACATTGTTTTTAATCTGAAATTCAAAACGTTTGCCAACGTTTGTATATCGAATATGAACCGAGTACGAGTTAGACTGAGGCTTGAATAATAAATAACGCTGGTTTGTTTGAGGAGTCACGCGGGAAACGTGGCGTTGCATCGAGTGGAGAGCAAACATTCTGTTTCGCCAGGCGCTCTGTAGTTATCTCTCTTTCCAAGAGCAAAACACAGGGGCACGTGTTTGAACTTGTTAGGCAGGCGACGTGGCAACGTCGTGGGTCTCGTTCAAAATAGCACTACCAGCTGGCGGCTATCGCTTAACATCCGATAGGTTCACGATCGCTCTCGTCGCGAAATTAACAACGATTCCATCGATATTTTATTTCGCGGGTAAATTTGCAATGAAAACGGGAAGTAAGGAGTCCTTTATGATTTGCGGGGCATAGACGACACGGTCGATGTGTGTCATCGATTACATCATCTCCCCAAAAAAGATGGCTGCCCCCCTTCCTGCACGAAACAGTTATGCACTGCGCTGATCAGTACATCGGCCATTTTTTCTTTTTTTTTTTTTTAGCAGATTAATATTAAATCGAACGATACGAGGATCATGTAGAAAATAAAAATAATGAAAATTTATGTTGGATAGATATCGAATTAGGAAATTTAAAGAGAATTTTCAGTTTATATGCGCTTTGGCCGAGGAACGATAACTGGGGCGCCATCTTAAGATGGTTAATAGAACTATGGAATGATGTAGAAATTGAATGTTTACGAAAATTGTTTTTTTAAGATTCCTATCTCAAAACCGATAACCGAAGCGTATCTAACGCCGATCATTTCTACGATTTACAGAATAAATAGTTGGAAAATAAAAATTGAAAACTCAAATTTATGTTACCTCTGCACATCCGCCTACAATCACTTTCTCCTTTGATAACGTTTAACACACAAAAAGACTTCGTAAACCAACTTTTAAAAAATATCAGCTTGTAGAGGATGATAAGACGAAACTTTTTTTATGTTTACAGTTTATTCATAGGACGCTTAGTTTCGAAAATAAAAATTGAAAAGATAGAAATTCTTTGCAAAAATTGAATTTCAGGAAAGTCTTCCGAGTTTTTAATTTTTATCTCCGAAACTAAACGTCGTATAAATAAACTGTAAATATAAAAAAGTTCCGTCTTATCGTTCCCTATAAGCCTGTATTTTTTTTAAATTCACACCTCTAAGAATCGTCTCACGTATTTAAAATGTACGAATGAATTAAATAAATGAATATAATTGAATAACAGACGTATTGGTTTTCCCCGTACAAAAAGCGATGATTTCAATTTACAAAATATTAATAACTGTGTACAATCGAGAGACTTAATTTAATGTAGCAACATTTAACGTTTCGTATAAAATTTTACGAGCCACCTTTCGCGCGGAATGGCAAGCTTGAGAATTTATACGCGGGAATTCTCGAGCGCCAGGTTGAATCACACGGGCACCTCTCCCTCTAAACAAGTCCGTGCAGGTTCAGTCGTGTCTGAACGGACGTGAACGGACGTACTTAAAGTTTCCCGACGATCCTGACCTGTTGCTAAGCCGCAGTTGTGCCGCATAGAGTGCTGAGTCGTTCGACGATATTCTGTTTGAGATGCGATGCAGTATCTTGTTCCAAAATCGTTATCAATTTTTATGATACACGTTCAATTATTCCACGTGCTATTTCCAATGCAGTTTCAATTGTTATTGTATTGTTTGTAACTTGGAGGTTTCCAGTCAATAAAAATGTAAACTTGAAACATATTCTGATATCTGAAATTTGTCACAATATTTCTCATTTTCTTTATTCAAATGACAAGAAGTGAAATATCGGGGAAGAAAGATTTCTAGTTCACTGTTCTACAGAATTATTTTAGAATAACATTCCTATCGCATAGCTAAGTAAAATAAACGATGATTTAAGATAAATTATTTAAGAATACCAATTGTATCGTACTTTCACAAAATTGTTATAGCCACTTGTCAGCCGATAATTATTCTAATTGTAATTGCTACTGCAAGAATAACATTTCGCACATATTCTCACAGGGAATTAATTAAAATCAGTCTAAAGAAATGACTAAACACATAACTTTCTATTTACAAGACTTATCGACATGTTTTGGTACAAAGTATTATTTATAACAAGAATTAAATACTGCGTTATTTCTTTTCTGGAACCACTTCGCTGATTCCATACATACCTGCCAGTAATCTTCCATGGGAAGTTGGTACCGGTTCTTTTGGAGCCAAGTAGGGCCCCTTCTCGTCCATGTATACATACCTAAATTTTCGTTAAGAGAATTTCTTAATTTGTTTAAGTTAAATATTCTTAGAAGGATATTCGTAGAAGGATACGGTAGCCTCAAGACCCAGTAGGCACTTTGAGAAAGCTTTATAGGTTCGTCGCAACCGGTTACGAAAATTGGACAGGGCGGAGGTCCGGGTTGAACTCGAGGGTTCAACGTGACGTGGACAGGAGCCTTCGGAGTCACCACGTGGATCCTCATTAGCTGCGCTATTAGCGGTTTCGTTTGCCTAAATGATTACTCAAGTGTGAGCATTGTTACCCACACCTGGACAGAGATATAAATAACACAAATTAACGCGTTGATCGCCATGTAACTCGTACCCGCGTGCTTTTCATGATGAAGAAGTGAACGAAACCTGAATGCCAAAAACAAATAAATTTAATCGAAATTGAAGGATTTCGATAAAGTCAGAAATGTAGACATCACTATAAATGTTTACGTTTTCAATGGCCTGTAAATAAAATTCGATCCCAATAGAAATTTTTAAGAGTATGGGAATCAACGCGTTAAACGTAGAACAATTTCGCTCGGTGATTTATCGGCGAGGTTGGAGTTTCACCTGCAAGGACACGGGAAGTAAAGAGGCATATCCGCGGTGCTGGATGTTACTTTGTTCCCACTATCCTTGACGATCCCGTTTCCTGTTGCTTTCAGGACCTTGTCGGGCGCGGACGCCATGAATCTGTGGCCCCTTGGACACTCGTACTCCACCCCGACGAATATCTTCACGACGAATTCCTTCCCGCCTTTGGACTTGCGACCGCGAATGGTGTTCATGTTCTGGAAGTTCTTTCCTCGCGGACAGTAACCGTGGTTCCCGTGGTCGCCGATCGTGGGCCAGAGGGAACCTCTTTCCTTCTGATGCTCCAATCTAGCAAAAGGGAGAAAATATATGAGATGTCAAATACAAATTTAACCCTTTGCACTCGAGAGGTGACTCTCAGATAAAATGATTGTCGGCGAGGTAAAGGTGACCTTATTCTAAAATCTAGATAGCTTAGAATTCATAGCAATAGAATGCTAAGAAACAACTCGAGTTGCTGGCAGATACCAGGAAAAAAGGCCTGGAGTGCACAGGGTTAATGCAAAAATAGTGGAACGTCTTCTTCTAAGTTCTTCGTAGTTCTCCAAAGTTGGAGTTCCGGAGTCTCCATATGTTGAAATTAAATGACTTTGGAATTAAAGCCTCCATGAATTATAATAATTGTGGACATACTTATACGGTGGTATACATCCACCTTTTTAATATCCTCTTTGTTCCAAATGAAAGTAATCAACAACCCATATCTTGATTCCAGATATGGCAAAATTTGACGAGACAGTGCAAAGGGTTAATTTGTCTACTTAACTTACTCACCTTACGGTTACGTCCCAGGGTAGGAGAAAGGCGGAGGTGGGTAGGACCCCAGCCTGGTGCTGGAGGCCCAAGTTGTGGGAGTATAAGCTGCTCGGGCCGAGGCAAACCAACGACCAGCTGGAGAACTGCGGTAGGAGACCAGCCGGGGATTCCGTGTGCAGCATCCCTGGGAGGTACTCCGTCGTCGATGGCTGTCTGACCAGGGACTTCTCTGTTGAGAGATTCGGATCGTTGAATTCGTTGCGTTAAAATAGCTAGAAGAGATCGTCCAGAAAATAATTACCTTTGTTGTCCGTGTCGCTGTCCGAGACCTCTATCACGACCTTGTGCGCGTCGCTTGGCGTCAGACTGGTCTTGTTACTGAGTTTGGGGACGTCCTCGTTTGTCTCGCTCGTTTGCTCCGACTGGCCTCCGCTGCCGTACGGAGTGCGAATGTCGTCTTCGAATTACAGTTTTAAATTATAGTAAACTTCACGATAAGGTTACTACGCTAAGGTTAATACCATTCAATGTATGTACCATTCAAGGTGTTGACTCCAAGGCTGCAGGCCTGAGTGTTCCCTCTCGGCGTTGGCGATTCCACGTGGCAGAAGGAGTCCTTCCGTTTCGTGACAGAAAGCAATTGTGCTGGTCTGCGAGGTAGATAGAGAAAGATGTCAAGCAGAGAGATTTGAGCAGTGTCTCGTTAATGTTTGGATCACTTCACCTATAGTTATGCGTACTAGGTTGGAAAACCGGAAACTGTATGTTCTCCAGTTGCGCGCAGCCACACTGTTTCGCCAGAATCTGGAAGTAGTCGTAGTTGGCTTGGCGAAGGCTGAAGGGGTCCTCTCGGGAGCCTTGGCAGCGACCACAGTTGCAAGCACATATGTATCTGACTCCGCTGCAGTGCTCCCTGATTGGTAAGTCGCTGCGAAACGAAACGAACTTTCGTTTCTATGTAACGCGTAGAATATAATAATAAGCTAACTGTGTTAGTAACTGTTGCAAGCCTTCGTACTTGTCGCTGTCTCTGGGCTCCGGTTGTTCTCCGCCTCCAGCTCCGTCGCTCCCACCTCTGTGGGTAGGGTTCGTGCAGGGGTTGCCTGTTAGAGATAGAACCTCGCACATTTGCCTTCCGGACCGCCAGTGCTTCTCGCATTCAGCTTGTAGCTTTTCGTTGAACTCTTCGAACAGCGGACCACGCGCGTGCATCTCGAAAACTGCCATCGCGTGAGCCAATTTCGTCTCGTGATACGCTCTAAAGTGAACATTAGAAACTTTACCAACTCCCAAACAATCTTAAACCTATCTAAAATGCAAACGTTAACGAAATACCTCGTATAATGTTGAGGTAGGTTCTCCTGGTAAGTTTGCAGGGCCCTAGGAAGCACTTTGCTGCATCTGCTCTTGCTAAATTTAACATCCGTGTCCAACAGATTGTGCAAAGTTAGGAATTCCTTGTCCGTCCCATGAATGAAGAAGTCGTAGACCTTGTTTACCACTTCGCAAAATATTCCTACGGTAGGTATCTAAAAGAAAAGATTCTTTTGCGAATTCAAGGCTGCGATTATGAATCTTTAAGTTTGAATTCTTACCTCGAAGTACGCGGGGACGGAATGTCGGCCAACGTTGTCGTCGAAGCCTCTCGCGAAAGCCAAATTTATGTGTTGCTGTAGAAACAGTCTGAAGGAACGAGTCTCTGCGAATGCATAATAAAAGTATAATAGTATCTTTGACGAATTTATTTCGGTTACTTCCTACGTACCAATTTCTGTATCGTCCATTTGAAGATTCGAGTCCTGACTGGCTAGGCTTCTCGAAGTACTACCACCGGAACTGGCTTTGCAGCTTTGTATCAGTTTTCTCGCCATGTAACCGAGGATGTCTTTGGACTCGGTGGTGCCAGTGTTTACGTAAACAAATTCCTGGTTCGCGGGAATCGCAAACAGAGAATTCGAGCTAAACATTGAATGTATTTAGTCGAATAAAACAATTTTAAGTATCTTCGTATTGAGTAATTCGATACCTAATATTAGTTACTATACGATTTTTCCTTAACACATGGTAAATTTGATCTTCCAAGGAATGCTCTAGTTTCTTTATGTTTGCTCCGCTAGCAGAATCTTGGAACACAGCAGGACAAGTTTCGAAATAGAACAGTACTCTCGGAGAGCAGGGTCGGACGTTGGACACCCAATCTTTGGGCAGACTGTAAATACAGCTGAGAACATCGGAGAGTTGGGGGGAAATTTTTTGCCTGAGAAAAATATAGTATTATCAGAAGTTTCAAAGTAGTACGCTAGGACTGGTGAGAATGGGACAATTACCTCACAATGTCCATTGCTCTGAATAAATGTACATAACTGTAATCGAATGTGTGAGTGGGGTGAGTGAGAACGATAACATGAGATATATGAAACAGAACAAGCAACGCTCTGGCGTATTTGTCTCTCATATGAGCCCACACACTGAGGAAGTCCTTGCAGTCCTGCTTATCTATGAATCTATCGTACTCCATTAAGAGAGTGTGCGTATCTAATAAACCCCGTAAATGCAAATATATAGTCTTTTCTTTAGAATCGTAGTATCCTTCGATTTCGCACTGAAAATAATATAATACATTAGTCGGGATCATTGGTGCTTGCTTTGATATACTACACAGTTCTTACGAAAGAATCCTTGTCCACTTCCGGTTCATCCAGGAGGTCCACTTGAAGAATAGAACCAAGCATACTTGTCTTGCATCCTTTCACACGATACTGTGACTTCCCAAACACAGACACGATCACTACCTTCTCATCTGTGTGTATAAAACTGAAACAGAATCATCAAATGTTATCAGTACCTAACAAAAAGAGTTACCTCTTTAATTTAAGTAGACAATTACCTATCCACGTTGCATGGAAGCCGAAATTTTTGGGGTCTCATTATATGTCTATGTTTATGTGATACAGAGGTAATACGTTCGTGACATGGGTCACATCAGGATGTTTACGACATATTACAGTACATTTGCATTTTTTGTCGCTGTTTATTACTGTTGGAGACAGAATAAACTAGAGGGTAGTTTCACAGACCCGTATTATTGTTTGTTGACGTTCACTTAGGTTAGGACAGGTTGTAAGCAAATTATAAATACTCTGTACAAAGAAACAGACGGGACTAATGTTTAAACTTATGATTAACGACATCTATGGAAAAATGGCAAAGTTTATAGTGAAATAGTTTCGTATTTCGATGGTAAGTGTCGCGGAGATAGTATGGAGAATATTATCGACGATTCTGAGCACATGAAACAAGATGGCCGCCACTCACGCATGCGCACTGTTCTTAGCGTCAGTGAAGTATCTAATACGACAATGAAAATGGTGCCTTGGTCGCCTCCCAAAGAAAATATTAGGTCATCCTTACAAGTAATGTCATTTTTCGATGCTAAATTAAACTTATATTTACTATAATCGTAAACGTATTAACGATTTCGTTCCATAACCTTTTCTCACCTTTCAATTACCGTCTTAATTCCATCTTTCCAAAATGTTCGAAATATAGCGAATCGGGACCAAGCATCGTTTTTTGTAACTACGATACTGGGTGCTTAATTTATCGACACGTATGCGCGAAAAATCCTCCAATCAGAGTTACGAAAACCGTTGTTCGATTCTGATTGGTGGCCATCATTTTTCACCTAACCTCGCGAAATTCAATTTGAAAAGCATAAAGTGTCGCAATATTCATATACTGAAGCATCATTTTTTTAACAAATAAATATTCACCTTCGCTTCCTAAATATTGTTTGCACATCTGTCTGTATTTACAATTAAATATCTTAAACAATTTCCAAATAAATAAAAAGAAATAATTCGTATAAATCGTTCTTGATAAAAATGATTAAAATAGAATATTCAAAAGAAAAATTGTTAAGAATTGTAATATAATATAGGAATCTGTTTTGAGGCTATTTTAAACTAGCGATCGTTCGAACCTATAATCAGCGACATCTGCGACGAAATGCCCAAAGTTTACAGGGAAATAGTCTCCCAACTTCGATGGTAAATGTGTCAGACAAATAATGGGGAATTTAATCTATTTTATCGACTCTGCATGTGCTCTCGGGAACCTGAAAAAACAAGAGTTTCGCTTCTATAATAGTGCTCTATAATTTAAGTAAGGTCGATAAAGTAAACTTACGGTCAAGGTTTATAATTCTCGCAAGAAATATTTTCACGAGGGTGTTGCCTTTTTAGTGCTAATTGCTTGAAAATTTGAAATCGGTTTGAAAAAAGCTCCTGGATTGAAATGGGTATACCCAAGTTCTTCAGGTACATAAGCGAGAGATACCCTTGCCTCAGCGAAACGTTAAAGGACTACCAGGTACCTAGCAAAACACAAACATTTACTTCTGAAAAGCTACACTTTTTTTGGGTTTAAAAATAATAGTATACGTATAAAACATTTGGCATAGTAAGGGTAAACTTAGCAATAGAACTATAAAGTTAATTATCCTGTACAATTATAATTCTATATATGTATATGTATTTAAAAAATCACAGAGAAATGAATAAATAGTTAAAAAAATGAGGCTCTAAAACTTTCCGTTAAGATTATATTAAAATTATTCCTCAGGAAAAATACTTGAAAGCCACTTTTTCTACACACATGTGTTACATCTATTTTTTTTTTATTCTAAACGACTTATTTTACTCTCCTAATTTAAAATTATTTGTTCACTTTTCGATTACTTCAATTACCAACAACAATGATAGTAACGATTTCATCATAATTTGCAGATACCACAGTTTGATAATTTATATTTAGACGTGAATGGTATCATCCATGGATGTTCACATCCCGACGACAGCGATGTTACATTTCGTATCACGGAAGAACAGATATTCAAGAATATTTTTCATTACATAGAGATATTGTTCCGCATGATTCAACCTCAGAAGTTGTTCCTCATTGCCATTGACGGTGTGGCACCACGCGCGAAGATTAACCATCAGAGGAGTAGACGTTTCAGGTCTGCCAAGGATGCAGAATTGCAGGAAGCTAACGCTGTGGCGAGAGGTATCAGCATACCAAAAGAAAAAAAATTCGACTCCAATTGCATAACACCAGGAACAGTTTTTATGTCTAAGTTGAACGAGGAATTAAATTATTTTGTTACGTACAAGATTTCTACTGACAAACTTTGGCAGAAGTGCAAGGTCATATTCAGTGGATCGCAGGTATCAATTGGATAGATGATACCATATATGTAGATACTCAAAATTTAGACAACAAGTTTATACAAAAGTTGTTTCAGGTTGCGGGAGAAGGAGAGCATAAAATAATGGATTATATTCGTTACATGAAGTCGCAACCAGGTTACGATCCACACACTAAACACTGTTTGTATGGTCTAGACGCAGATTTAATAATGTTAGGTTTATGCACTCACGAAGTGTACTTTACGTTGCTAAGGGAGGAAATTCAGTTTGGTAAAAAACAAACGAAATTAGTAACTCCAGAGGAGACGAAGTTTTGTCTCTTTCATTTATCTCTGTTAAGGGAGTATATAGACCACGAGTTTTCTCCGTTGAAGGAGAAGTTACCTTTTCCTTTCGACATCGAAAAGATCGTCGACGATTGGGTTTTAATGGGGCTTCTCGTAGGGAACGACTTCATCCCGCATCTGCCGAATTTACACATCACTAGTGGCGCGATGTCCATATTGTACAATGTTTACATGGAGGTATTGCCATCGCTGGATGGTACGTTTGGTCTTTAACAATAAATAACATTTCAACTAACACGTATCAAGATTGTGTGATCGAAACATGTTTGATCGACTTATTCCAGGGTATTTAAACGAATCCGGGACTCTAAAGTTGGACAGATTCGAGAAATTCATGGAGAGACTCAGTCGTTTTGATATATTAAAGTTTTACGACGTCTACGCAGACCTGAAATATTTCGAGAGTAAAACTGGGAGGCGTGTCACAGAGTCCGACAGGCCCAGTAGCAAGAAGTTAAAGGATAAAGAGACTCCGTCTCCAAAGAGAACGCAAGATAAAGAGTTCGACGCTTTACTCAGATCTGCAGCTGAAATTTCCTTGGGAGACTTTGACGACGACGAGCTGGGAGACGAAGACTCGGACAGCGAAACTTACAATTTGGAATTTGTCCAACACAAGAGGGATTATTACACAAATAAATTAGAATACCACAATATAGACGAAGAGTTTCTACGTTCCCAAGCTGAAGGTTACGTGAGAGCCGTTCAATGGAACTTGAATTATTATTATAACGGATGTTGCAGTTGGTCTTGGTATTATCCGCACCACTATGCTCCTTATATCTCGGATATAAAAGACTTCAAAGATTTGAAGTTAGAATTCGATTTAGGAGAACCGTTTTTACCATTTCAACAATTGCTGGCGGTATTGCCGCCGTTCAGTAAAGATTTGTTACCGGAAGCATTCCGGACGCTGTTGACGGAGGACAAATCGCCAATAATTGATTATTATCCGTCGGACTTTAGGACAGACTTAAATGGGAAACAACAAGAGTGGGAAGCCGTCGTACTTATACCGTTCATAGACGAGAAGCATTTGCTGGACGGTGAGTGGAGATTGCGTAAATTTTCATCTGTCTCGAGTAAAAGTTCGATTCGATTTTTATAGCCATGGAGCCTCGTTTATCGGAATTGACTCCCGAGGAACAGGCGAGGAACAAACATGGACCGATGCGTATGTTTACTTACACTGATGCGAACATGGGTATTTGCAAAGCGCCGAAATATTTTCATGACTTTGTCAGTCACGCGAGTGTACAGTTAATTAATCGCGAGGATATTATCGTACCAAGGGAGAAGCTAGTGAAAGGGCTGTGCCCTGGGGTCAACTTGGACTTGTACTGTCCTGGGTTTCCTACGTTGAAGTACATAGAACACACCACCAGCCTGGAGAAGAACGTTGTGAGTGATCTATATAATATATATATATATATCGTTTGGAGATGTATGAGTCAAGGAGTCAAGGATATATATAATATAATATACATATAATATTAATATAATATATATAATGTATAATATAATATATAATATTAATGTAATATACATATAATATATATATTTACATACATATAATTTAGAGATGTATGAGTTAAGTATTCGCTAATTTTCTGCATAGGTGAAAGTGTTCGACAGAGTTACATGGAGAGACAGCATGATTTTGCACATAAAACCTCCACCTCCGACGGATTTAACGTCCGTAGCGTCCGAGCTACTAGGAAAATTGGTGTTCGTGAACTGGCCTTACTTGACGGAGGCCCAAGTTGTGGGCGTTTCGAATTGTGATACGAAATTAAGCTTAATTAATCCACAAATGAACTATTGTTACGAGAATATAAACAAGGAAGAGCTGAAGGGCTCCCTTGTCACGCAGTGGAATTTACAGAAGAAGCATATCATTGAAATGTAAGTGCAATTGCCTACATACTTAAATATATGTGTAAAGAATAGCAGCGTCAGTGCACAGTAGACAATACAGTTAACTTTATCGGTGAGACAAAAGAGTAAAGATTTACTGGACAAAACGTGTATTAATTATACTGTCGATTAAATAAACAAGCTTATTTGTGGTTAGAAAGCTTATGTGTGGTTAAGAACTGACACAGCAGTTAATATATTCAACATCATTAAATGTCGTATCTTTTTACAGAGAAACTCAGTTGTATTTTTAATCTGCAGTGTTAATCAACCGAACTGAATAAAATAATCTGATATATATCACTGTATTTGTAGATATAAGGTTCGTCTTGGAGTGGACGTAGGAGAAACGAATATTTTGATCCACGCAAGACCGTTCGTAAGCAGTAAATACATATACGGTAGTAGTGGGAAGCTGTACTTTGAGAAACAATGGTCAGACTCGCAAATTGCATACGCTCACCAGATGATAGTGAAGGACATCAGTTCCTACTGTGTCGAAGTGATGTTATACAAGACCATCGATGATATTTTTGTTCCGGAAACAGTTTGCTTTATGCTGGGACATCCTCATTACGGATCAATGGGGAAAGTACGTTGAGCGTATTTAATTGTCCAGCTAGAATAACACTGTCTGGTATTGGTTAGAGTTATCGAACAGTTCTAGAGTCTTAAAAAATGAATTGTCTCGATAGGTAGCATCGCCAGTGATGTGCAAGAAATCAGGAAGGATAAGAGTGTCGGTGTCTGTGGCGCAAGAGCCATGGTTGGACTGGTTGAAACATATTTACCAGAACCAGAAGACTCAGTACATGCCAGGAAGCATAGCTGCGCAACGGTTAGGCATAAGTAGTCACCTTTTAAGTAGAATCACAGGCACGATTTACGTAAAGTCCTCGGATGAGTTCAACCCTGAGGAGACCAAATACAACGTGGGCTTGAATTTGAAATTTAACAAGAAGAACGAGGAGGTGAGATTAATATCGACAATCGAGCGTGGACAATTACTTACAATTACGTGTTGTACGTTTATACGGTCTTACAGGTACTGGGTTACACTAGGAAGGAAAACGGTCAGTGGCTGTACAGCTCGAAAGCTGTGGATTTGATCCACAGTTACATGGCCAAGTGTCCTGACTTGTTTGAACGATTGGTGCAGAACGTGTCTAACGACGTCTTTCTAGAAGAGAACTTGTTCACCAAGGGGTAGGTGTTGCTAATTAAACGGAGTGAGGTATCTTAAGTTAAATTTTCTTTAGCTCTCGAGATGAATAAAGCTCCTACTTTACGAAGCAAGCATGCTTTCACACTTTAAATTAAAGAATACATGAATTTACATGTTTCATTTGAAATTACGTATTTTATGTGTTTAAATGTGTAGTTCGGGAACATTGAGCGATATCGTAGCCTGGTTGAAGGACGAGCTCCAAGACCTACCAATCTGCCCTTGTGGCACAGAGAGCTTCGAATCGGACATGGTCAAGAAAGTAGAGGAAGCTATAGACCAGTTCGTCAGTACGCAAAGCAACCTCGTTAAGCTAGTACCGATGCAAGTGAAGCCTCACTTGCTTTACAAACCCGGTTTGCATCTGCGTAACGTTCCACCAGACCCTAAAGCGCAGACGTACTTGTTCGACAGGATATGTTGCACTAGAGAGAACTTCACGGTGCCCCTTGGCCACAAGGGTACCGTTATAGGCATTCAGAAGGTCGATAACGCGTTGGAAACCATGTACGATGTTCTGTTCGATAAAACATTCCCAGGTAAATCGGAAATTCAATTTAGAACAAGAATCGGTCACGCGTGTAGCTTTTTTTGAAGAATTAACGAGAAAGAGATAGTAAACCTAGCATTATAAATTCAATTCTCAAGGAACAACCGATTGGCTAATTAGTTCCGATACTCTGACATCCACAAACTTTGCAATTTATGGAAACATTGTAGAGGAAGTGTATTTGCAACGAGGACTTTAAAGTCGATGAGTTGACGCTAGGTCCTGTGAAGCTCACATTTTGTGGAAGCTCACAAATAATTAAGAGTTCTGACTTCGTTAGATCCGCAATTTCAGATCGATTAAACTAACATCTACCAATTGGAACCATTGGATAAACTTTTTTAAATAATTTCAAGTCCCCGAATCTGTGGTACGTACATATAAATATTAAAATTGTTTGTTAAAAATGATCTCCCTAGGTACAATTGATGAAACTCTTCTGAACTATATTTAGCATGCTCAGAACTCTCCAACAAGTAGATGTATTTATATATGTATATAAGTATATATAAGGATATATGTAATATGTGTATATATGTATATATGTATATAAGTTTGCCATCAATTGTACTTCTGGGGATCATTTTTAATAAACAATTTTAAGCGCAAAGATCCATGGTACGACCACTCACAGAGTTCCAATTGGTAGAATTATTACTCTAATTGATCAGGACACTGTTTAAAATATTATGCAGACTTCAGAAAATAAAGTCAGAGTTCTAATTAAAACTTTTATCTACTCTACGCCTGCAAGCTTCGCAGAGCCTCGACGCTATCGTAAGCAATTATCATTGTTTCAAGGTGGACTAGTGATAAACGGCTGTTCGGAGCTCCGCGGGTACCGTCTGTCGCCGATTGATTTCATAAACATTAGCCACGGGGAGAGAATCGAGCACGGTAGAGCGCGATCAGTGGACGGGAATACAGAGTCTATAGAAGGTTGGAGGGACAGCTCCAATCAGAAAGCTCAGTCTTGCGCAAACGCGAGCGCTTTCGCGTCGTACAAAAAAAAGATTCAAGCGGAGCTACCGAAGCTGCGCATTATTCAAAGGAATAACGAGCCGAATCAGGAGTGTCAGTTGGGGCCGCCGCCGAACGCTTATAGATGGAAACAGTGCAACATGCAGAACACGGTGGACTCGCAAGATACTTACAAACTTGCTAAAAATGTCCAGCAGAACGCGCCCTCGGACAATACGCACAAGAAACCGGCGACGAAGCCGTCGCTGGAGTTCCAAGCGTTGTGGAACGAGCTGCACAAGCTGCAGGTGGGTTGGATTGTGTGCAAGGTGATCTTGGGAACTGGGACAAGCTAGAGCTCTCTCCCAAATCCTTTCCAAATCTGGAAAACAGTTGAGCACTGTTGGCTATCTTTCCAAGATAGAAATCTTGCGTATCGATTCATTGTATCCCTGCTTGGACAAGAGCTGAACCTTATCCCAACTTCTCCAATCACCCTGTATATTTCTTTACTACTGGCTTCATAGTCTTATAGATTTATAGATTTTTGTTGGTTACTAGACCACCAATGACCAGCCGAAGGTTGAGCTGGTACTTCCGATGGCTCCACAAGCCAAGCAGATCAATAAAAGCTTCCCCGAGAGTTCTGTGAGTATCTCTTAAAGTCTCTCTCGTGTAATTGTTCTTAGGCTAATTTGTGGATCGCTGTTGTCTAGCCACAAGATCCTAGCGCATTCTTGAAGGCCGTACTGAAAATCTCTGATGAAAACAAAGGCCAAACTAAGCAGCCCGCACCAAATCCACCTTTGAGCAATGCAGTTCCAAAGGAGAATAAAACATTGGATACTCCTCCGCTGGTGCAACAACTGTTCGATGTATGTGTTAAGATAGGTTACCCATAATTGGCTACAAACGGAAGTAACGTGCAAATAAATTACATGGATTATCATTTTCCCCAGCACGCTCGACAGAATGATAAAGTAAAGGATGAGAAGTCACCCACTTGGTACTGTACGCAATTACTGAATTACTGTCTACTTAAAGGAGTAGGAATGCCTCGATACAGCTACTTCACAGATGAAAAGACTAACTTGGTTCGCTCCCATATTCTCTTACCCGACAAGAGGGTGTTTGTGGGAGATTCCTGTCCGAATCACGAACAAGCTGCGGGGAGTGCTGCTGAAAAAGTGTATACGGTAATTAAAAATCCAAGCTATCAGCATGTTTCATTACAATCTAAAAAAAGGGAGGTCAACGATACATCACATTCTCTTTTAAAACTTAGGAATTAAATTTGGTCAACATATTATCGAACATGAATATGGTCCTGCCTCCAATGGTCTGGTACCCCGGTGGACAAAACCACCCCTGGCTCCCTAACGTACTGCTTCCAAGAGTCCCTTTTCAACCTACGAAGCCACAACCGCATCAGCATTACCTCCAGTGGTCCATGCAAGTGCAGCACAACCCAGGTTACCAGCCAGTTCCCTCGCAGAACAATCAGTACAAGCTCCCACCTCAGCCACCGTCGACCCAAAACCCATCCAAGTCTGAAATAAAGAACAGCAGGTCTTTCGTTCCGCTGCAAGCGCAAAAGAAAAGCAGAAACATCACTGCCAAGCAGGCTACTACCAAGGAGGGGAAAGAATGTGCCAAAGAAAATCCTCAGACAGTAGCGCAGCAAAAGAAAAAGGAATTGCCCGTCAAGGTTTGAAACATTTTTTCGATAAATTTGCGATTGCAGCTCTCCAAGTGCGAGTCTGATAAGTCTCTGGTTCTTTGCAGAAAGTCGAAACCGTCGCCGCGGCCCCTGAGAAACAGAAGTCCGTGGAAAGCAACCGTCACCAAATACAAAACACGTCGATCGTACCGAAACCTAAGAAATCGCGGGTGGCGGCCAAGTTTGGTATACAGTCTCAAACGGAGGAAACGAATCACAGTAAGAAGTCCACTTAAGACACGTGAAAAAACGATGCGAAATGTTGATACGTATTTATTTTCATTTTTCGAACACTTCTTTTTTATATTTTGTAATAAAAAGGTTCCGAGTGAGACGAGTATTGATCATGTAAAAGAGTATATACGAAATGAAATTGAAATATCGTGTACATAATACTCAGTTTGTAAGTAGCGTTATTTTAGATTTCTTTTCTAAGGGTATTGGCTCATTATACTGTACAAAAGGACGTTGAAGGATACGTTAATTATAAGATTGAATTGACTTTTATACGTACGATTCGTGGTTGTGCGAAGAACAGTATTGAGTACTATAAAAACGCGAAGTTGCGGTGTACGACGACGTACTTCAGTACGCTGAAATGTGATCATTTAATTTAGACTTACTGATAAAAGTGACGAAAGAAAGAAAAGATATTTTACGTATAGTCGACCAGACGAACATTGTTATTTTTGTGATTTCATAGGCTGATTCGCTCGATTATTTGAAAACTGTACGAATCTTTGTTTCCTAGAAAAGATATTTGTAAATGGCATGGATTCTATCGAAATCAAAATTTGCGCCTTGAAAAGAAAACGGCACTTGCGTTTGTAAATTTGTAAAACACTGATCGGGTGAAGATGAATAAAAACCATGGGTTACATATGTAACGCAAATGTTCGTTGTCCGTCATATTTCCACCATCGTTTCAGTCTTTATTTAAAATTATTTATTATATAAAAGATAAACGGTGTTACCCTGATTAATTCTATTCGCGGGAGAAGGTATATTTTACAGAGTACGCAGACGAAGTTTCGAGTATTCTCATCGACGCGCCGTGGTCACCTTTCGTCACAATTTATTTGCTCGTTATTATATCTTCGTCATAGACAGATTTTGAGCGGCGAAGTCGCACAGGATCTCGTGCATTCGCCTCGAGTTCTGTCGTTCCCTCAGAACCATGCGTGTAAAGTTCGCCTTTTGTACTTGCGAGGCCGGAAACGCGTCCGAGTGCATTTCGAACGCGACGAGAATCCACTGCGCCATCCGTTCCGTGCACGTTCTGTTCAACGACAACAAAACTTCCGCGTGGGGCTCTAAATTGTTCCTCGACACCAGTCCACCTAAGCACGGCGTCATTACGCCTATTATTCCTACGATACACGAATACGTGTCACGCCTAAACCCGAATATCCCTTTCAATCACGATTTCACGTATAAATGCATGTGTTGTTTCTATTACGTAGCCGACATTAAGATACGTTCAGACGGGCTTCGTATTCTTTTCGAGGTTTAGGTGCGACACCCTGTAAATTCCCTACGTACCAACGCATTGCAAGATCACAGAAACGAGTTCCTGGCCAATCGGTTGGATGAAGGTTTCCAAGTATGGGCTCTGTTTGATGGCGTGACTGAGGAAGCTCACGGCTGCCTTAACGGTCCTAGTTTCCGGTAACGTTAAGCAATCGATCCCTGTGAGACATGTTTCGATTAATAACAGAGCACGATACAGCGATAATACGTTAGAAAGAGGGCCAGCTAACCGCATTGCAGCATCTCGGGGATCTGCTCGGGTATCTGCAGCAGCAACCTGATGTTCTTCTTGCAAATCTGAGCGAGAAGGCCAAGGTAGGCTTCCATCAACTCCGCCCAATCGGAGAGATTACCACGCACCGATCTGCAGGCTCTGACGCCACTCAGCGTGACCGAGCTCAGCTCCGCGAAAATTGGCCTTATGATGTTGTCAGGGTCCCTGCCAAACAGCAGCACGAGTTGTTTGAGGAGATCCAACGCGGCAGGATGGGGCCAGGTCTTGTACGAGCCGGCCAGAATGGGGAGGAGAGGTCGAGCGTCCACTTCGGGGTGCAACAACGAAGGCAGTGATTTCTTCGCGCAAATGTACATCTCTTCCAGCGTGGAATTGTCCTGGCCCCATTCAGGGTGGCCAACGATCTGATTGAATATAGGCAGGAGCCCGTCCAGCACAGCCTTCCCAATGGACGTTTCCAGGGTGGAAAAGAATATGCTGACCATTTTTAATTGCTTTGTCACCGCGCTACGCGCCACGAACAGCGGTTGCTTTAACAACTCTCGTATTTTAATTATGCACAAGCCTAACGTGGCGTCGAGGTGGGCTAGCTGCTCGTCAGCGGTGGTTAGAGTGTTCAATAATTTCCCGGCGGCGTACATCAGTCGCAGACCTTCCCCGCCTCCCGGTGTAACGTTTGGAAGCGTTTGCTCTATCGTGTTGAGGATAGACGGCGCGAAAGGGGTTAGGTGTTGTCCGCACTCCCTCGCCAGATCTTTCAGGGCCATGCTGGCGAGGGGAGCCGTGATAGAGCCTCTGGTTAGACCCAGAGTCACGATTCGCAGGGCTCTTTCTAGCCAGGGATCGGGGTGCGCTCCTATCCACTCCGCGTACGCTCCCATCGCGGAACAGGCGCATGCTAGGACCTGAAATTGGGTTACGGTTAGTTAAATATACAGATGATAGAGACCTAAAGTGTATGCAAGGCCACTCTGTGTTTCAATGGTGAGATCGTTTTGTAATTTTATTAAACGCCATTTTAACAGCGGAACTACCAAGCAATTTGACTCGCGAACATCTTATTAAAATAACTGTTTTGTTAGCAATGTTTTTGCTTTAATTTGTAGCGAAGGTTAGCGAGATAGAAAACTCCACTGTCTATTCTTAATGATGTACTATTATACGTGACTGCGCATGGGAGTTTACCTCTCCAGGATAGAGATCGTACGGAATATGAGTGAGAATCAGATCCATCAGGGCAGGAATGTAATGCGACTCCTCTGTGCCAACACTATCAGCCAGAGCTTCGAAGGCATGCAACGTTGACTCCACATCTGCCCACTTCTCTGTACCATCCAGCGACTGACTCAATCTTTGCCCAAGAAGTACCAGTAGATCCTGTCGTAACACCCTGTAACAGTAATCCAAGGTGTCCGATAGATCCTGTCTGTAACACCTGAATCGCTCCCGCTCCTCCGCGTCTCCCGCCTCGCTGGGAGTCAAGGGAAGCGTCGATTTGCGCAGCAACGCTTGAGCTAGTCTAGCGTAAATGGGTTTTAGGGCCTGCAGGGCGCAGCTCTCGTAAGGTTGGTCGAGGGTGGCGGCGTCGTCTTGTAACCCGTACCAAAATAGAAAAGGTATATTGCTGCGAGTTTCATCCGTTGGGTACCGTCCCTCTTGCTCTGAACATTGCAAAAGTAGCTCGATCAGATTCTCCGATGTCCATTTCCGCGTTTCGTTTCCTTCTTTCACTAAAGCGATCAGAAACTCTCTGCTGTGATTCTCTCCGATGGCAGTGAGAATTTCGCAGAAATACTTTCTGTTGTACTGTCTGGCCATGGTCACCAGGCTCTGTGCCCAGTCCCACAACGTCTGTGGCCTGTTTCTAAGTTCGCAATGAGACACTATCATAATCAAACATTGTTGGACAATATCCCAACCTTTGGAATTTTCCTCTTCGGGACATCCTCTTTAATTTGATATAGAAACAAATGTTATTTTCAATGCGGACAAGTAAACATATTTGTATATGCTATGAATGGACAAAGTCTGTTAAATATATATACTATTTTTGTATTTTAATTTAGATTTGGATTTTATACGTGGGTCTGAACATGATTCGAACACTTGTACCTGCTTGGGGCATAATAAGCTGCAGCGACGAGTAAATGAGGATATATCTGTGCAGTTGCATCCAGTGGAAGTTGATCAACCTTCAGCCACGATAATGCGCACTCCATTGCTAAGAGATGTAACGCCTTGTCACAGTCTGGGGAGTGTGGGTTGCACATGGAGAAAACTTGCTGAAGGAGCCAGGTTGTTTTGTACCAACCATAAACTAGACTTTTAGGTAACTTTGCTCCTTTTGCTTCGTACCTCCTTTCAGACTGACCATAGAAAGCAGGTATTAATTAAAAGAAACGATATTAAGACGGTCTATCTATATTTTACCTTTATTGGTAACACAGACAGCGTACGTAGTAACAATTCCAACATGGGGAGCGAGTCGTAGGGTAACATTCTCATGAGTTCGTCGACCACATTCTTATCGTCGACTACGTTCTTATCTTCGTCCTCGTTCTCGACAGCACTGGCTTTCGCCACGAATACAGCTAACTGAATTAGAATAACGCGTTAGTAAACTACGATAACCTCAAAGTGTTTGAGATATAGCTTGTGGTTTTACCGTTTGACAGAGTTTGGAAAGGACAAACTTGGGCGTATTTGGTTGTTTCATGATATTGAGCAAGCGCTCCTGCAGAGCAGGGTATTCATTACTAGGCACTTCGTCCCACTGTTTGGAAATTTTGATGTGCAATGTCGTAGCAGCGAAGAATTGGACCTCCCATGCCTGCAATGAGAGTAACTATTGTTAATTACAACAAGAGGGACGATAGAAACAAGATTACATACCTTGGAAGGATCGAGGAGGTCCCAGACGAACGTCCAAGCCTCTGGGGAGGCTTGAACCCGTATGAGCCAAGAGTGCACTTCGTTGTTTCCCTCTGCATAGAACTGCTTGACAGCTTGCTCGACTACGGTTGTATAATCCATCATAGATCGCTTGTATATACTACAAGGGCTCCTATGACAGCGTTACACTGTTATTTATCACTGTGTCTACCAATGTCTCATCGCCTGCAAGGAATTGCTCGTTCGACTTTAAATCTTTGCCAAGGTTTGATCAAGAGGTTGTGTTGCTGAAAACTCCTTTATCATTTTCTTAGCGAATCATTTGAAGCTAAGGTCCCTGAGAATTCTCACGTAGAGCTATTTAATCTCTGTTTACACGATTCTTTCCGACCGCCTTGGAAATCTTATGAGTTGCGCAAACGACATCTACCTGCTCTCGACATCCGTGCAGCCCTATTTTCATCGTCGCTCTAAGAATATTTGCGAGCGATTAGAATTTCATCGGCGAGTACCGATGGGAAGAGAATCCGAACGGGTCTGAAAATAATTTCAATACCACACGTTATCGCAGTACATATAAACGTGTTCTATTCTTAATTCGTGGTGTTTCGCGTGATACTTTTACAGTGGCGAAACTCCGACGCCATTTTTTCGTGTCTCGAGGCAGAACGCGCATGCGCACTAGTAGCGCCATCGGTGGCGAAACGCACAAGGCTTGTGGTGGACGCTCTCATCATCGTCGATAAGAAGAACTAACTGTTAACTCGATGATACTCGATGTTATTCATTTGATTGTCTTTTGTGAGACATAATTTAATTTTGTTTGCCTTTCAAATATTTAAACACACTGTCTGCCATTCCATTAAGCAAGAGAGATCATTTCAAATAAATACCAGAAATTGTTATTCAATCAAAACTTTTATTTAGTCTACATTAAAATATAATATGGGTAAACCTTCCCCATAGGCTTTACAATTATTGCTAAACTAAATAATTATTCATATAAACAACAAATTTTACATATTATCTAACATTTTGCAGCGTAATAAACCAAGGAATCGTGTTATTTATGCGTTTATCGCAAATAAATGAAATTACTAAGTCGCGCCATCTAGCGGCAAAGCGCCCAAGTTTGTAGCGAAGAGTGTTCCCACTGTCGCCACTAGATGACGACACTTAACCAATTATTTTATTCGCAATAAATCTGTAATTAATACTAATTGCTTGCTACATAACGATGCAATATGTTGGTTAGTATGTCAAATTTGTCATTTTAATGCATTTTCATTTGACATATTAAATACTATATTAAAAATTTATAGAAAGGTATCAGTGGCGCCATCTTGTAGGTGCAGTGGGAACTATTTTAACTACAAGCTTGGGCGTTTTGCCACCGATGGCGTTACTGGTATTGAACCCCGCTCACTGAGCTGCTCATTGAGCGATGAACTTTTGAATGGACCCCAAGGACAGATAGTTCCAACCCCCGAACATTCTATAACTGCGGGAAGTACAAAAAGCAGCAAAAAATGTATAAAATACTAGCATTTGCGATAAATAAATGTATCCATTCCAAATATATTTTTTAAACTAAGATGTAAGCTACATTTATGTTTCCTTGAGCTATCGTAAGACAAGAATAACAGTGAAAGTCTTAAATACGATTCCATTTCGCATAACTTACCAAGCAATTGGTATGTAAAGTTAGATTGCTTGGTATATTGAGCTGTACAGCATTATATCAGATAAACGAACACATGATTGTTATTTTTTTTTTTTTTCTTTCGAAATTTATATAATTTATACAATTATATAAACTTTATTCTTGGTGGAAGAAATATTTCATACGCTAACGAACTATAACACGGAACATTTGTAGTCCGACAGGCGTGTCGTTATTCCGTGGGAATTTCTGGGGACCGGTGTGCCCTTTCGATATATTGAATAGTATGCAAAATATCTCTATCGACGTATCGTACGAACTAACAAGTGCATTTTTCCAACTTCATTTAACGATTCGATCGTTATTTAACAGTTTTCGACGCAATCGTCGCGTCGACTACACTTACGGGCAGTAATTTGAAATTTTTTGAAGTAGCGTAACGATGTTTGCGCAGAGAACGCAACTTCAACAATTACGATCTATATACTTGAATGTATTCTAGAAAACGTTCGGATATTACTTTCGTACAACTAGTTCCTTTTCTATATTTCAAACGATTCTAATTAATTGTAGCATGATTAATTTCCGAGCACGCCGTTTAGGTGAATCAATTCTCTATCTTCGCTCGGATCCTACGGTCGCGACAATGTCGCGCGAACGATTATTTTGGGAAAAATGAAATTATCGTACAAAGTATAAATTATTGATGAACACTCAATTTTTTCAACATGATATTTGCATAAGTTTAATCTAAGAATGATTTAAAAAACCTCGAAGCAGTAGAAGCCATCGTCGCGGTACCGCGACGATTTCATTTTATTTTCTTACGATGTCGCATACGTCATGTCGTGTTTACTAAGTGTGCTGAAACAGAGAAGACATTGAATTACGAGAAACCGGAATCGGTATTCTACCCAAAGTACTATGCTCTCACATGATAATGGTATTCTGAGGGGTGCGTTGTCCTTTATAATACATTCGTGCGTCTGAGTACGAAACAGATATTGCACTAACAATTGCTTCTCCTCCTCGACGCATGGATCGTAAAATCCTGGCAATTGGCTCTGCGAAATGTCCAAACATATCTTAATTGTAGATGAATGTGTTCCACATGGACATCTTATGGCGATCAGGTGCGATAATCAATGTATTCGAGATTAACCAGATAAAAAGAAAAAGTCTTAAGACAATGTTTCTCAAAATACATTCACTATCGCAAGCTTACCAAGAAGAAGTTTGTTGTAATACGTATAGTTACTAGGATACTTTTAAAGATGTATGATATTTCAAATGAGAGGACAAACGATTTTTGATCCTGATGCGCGGTTGACTGTACCTTGGACGCATCGTGTAGAACCAGCCTCGAGTCCTTCACTAAACATTGCAAAGGAATGGTTACGTCTATCACTTCGTCCCTGTGTAAATGTTCCTCGGAACCGGATCGCTCCTCTTGAGGGTACACAAATCGTCCATACAAGGCTTTGGTGATGATTAATCCCTTCTTAGCCTCCTCCTCGGCTCTTATTCTACTAACGGTTGCTTTCATTAATTCGGTAGCGATCTTCGCTTCCTTCTGCTTCTCCATGGTCCTCGTTTTGTTCATCTCCTTCTGCTTCTCCTTCTTCCGTTCCTCTCGTTCCCTCACCACCGGGTCGATCACCACTTTCTTCACGATGGTCCAGGTGATCAACGGTATAACAGTGGCGTAGAACACGGGAGCCGGGAGGATCTCGTCGCTCAAATGAATGGAGAACGTGTATGTTTGCGAGGCACGATTCAATTTCAGTCTAAGCGTGACACCCGTTGGCAATCCGACGCGCACCGCGGCGGCGAGGCTGCTGTGTCGCGATACTTTCTTCTCTGCTCCGTATTCGACTAGTGCTCCGAACGTGCCAGCCCTGGAAGTCGTAATCGATGTAACTAACGTTTCTAATATTTACGAAGTAAATAAACGGATGTCTCGGCGTAGATGCTAACTTTATACTCCCGCGAAGCTTCATCTGCTTCTCCTCCATTTTATAAGTATAATTAAGACTGACGAAAGACTGCAGGATACCCAAGTGTATCGAAAACGCCGTGTAAGATCTGGACGTGTCCCTGACGATCATTGTAGTCATGGCGCTCTGTATTCCTGCCCTGTACGTCAGGTAGCCCACTGTATTTTTGTCCAGCTGCATCGCAAGCGCTGTAATTAGAAAATTAGAAAAATTAGTTAGAAAATTGTCTCTATACCTCTGCATCGTTTGTTACTTTCGCGCAGAGACGGACAAAACTCAAATAGCGAGATCTTTCCATTCCCCATTCGACATTTCCTCGTCTCTGTCTTGGCACAGACAGTGAAGACATACTTCCTATGATGCCAGGCCTTATTTCTCGCGACGTGAATTGGAGTATCATCGCCCCGTCGCAGAACAATCTCCTCGTTAACGTACGAAAGCCTTTCACGGACACCGTAGGTCCATTGCCAGCGCCCACGTCGAGTTCCATCCAGCCTTTCGACGAGACCAACCGTCTCGCGGAGACGTTTATAGAACCAGAACCCGTCCCGTTCTGCGTACCTAGTTCCCCATACATGGTTACCGTGTCTCTTAACGTAAGAGGCGCTTCTATGGACTGCGTGAACGACATTCCGCTGACTTCGATGCACGACAGTAGATCCCTGCTTTAGTTTCAAAGATAACATATGATGTAGTACGTGTACGTGTATTAGATGAAATTTGTAGTTACCTGTCGTCGTAGTCGTTGTCGTATCTGTTAAAGAGATCCGTGGCATTGACATTGACCGTAATGCTGCCTTTAGGGTTCGTGTGCAGCTGCAGCCTGCTCTCCTCGATCTCTCGCGCGAGCCGCTCGTACTCCTCTCTGATCTCTTGAGGTGTTTTGGTACGTTGCACGATCTCCCATCCTTCTATTTCCAGACCTCGGATTCCCACGGAGTCGTAGATAGCTCTCTTATGGGGATCCCTTAGGACTATCGAAAGAGAGATACTTTAATACTTTAGTGTATACTGTTTACAGTATAATACTCGTGAAAATTTTGAATCTAAGAGTAATACTTTTATGCAGATTACACTTGTAATAGTTCTGACAAACCTTCGTACGCTTTCTTGGTACGATTGAATAAAATTTCTGCTTCCTTCTTAAGTAGAGGATCCGTGTGCTTGTCGGGGTGGTACAGTCTGCTCTGTCTGCGGTATGCATTGCTGATTTCATCTGCAGTTGCCTAGGAATAAAACAGGCATCGATAACTCTTTCGTGGATATGATTAACAAGATGCACGAGTGGAGCTTGGTGGAATATTTCAGAAATAGTTTGAGTAAAGGTTTACAGGAGTGACAGGAAGCTTGTAGAAACTATCCGTTGGGCAAGAATATAGATCAAAGTAAAATGACAAAATTGGAGTGTTCGATGGGTTAAGAATTCCAGTTTGGAATTGTTAGAAAAAGCAGTTTGAGAGAATTTAAAGGTTTCCATGAAATAAACAATGAATAGATGCATCGTGTTGTGTGAACAATACAGAATGTTATTGCAAAGGGCTGATTACGTCAGACGCATGGGGGGCAAAGCGCGTCACGTGGAGGGCTAGGAATTGATCTGTATCCTTGACCGGGTATAGGAAACGATTCGCGTGGAAAACGAATTTGCCAGGGTCGCTCACGTTTTTGGGGATGTTCAGGAACGTGTAGTAGTCATCCTCGGTCGGGTTGTCCTGATCGTTATCGTCGTCCATGTTAATTCTCTGAGTTTTTCGGTTGGCGAGCCGTTCGCAACACGAACACCGATATTTTCCTCGACTTGGTCTTCTGCTTTCATAGGTTACGAAAGACTCGGCCGAGAACCGGCATCTTTTAGTGCCTGTATAGAATGTTAGGTGGAGCTCTGTGATCTAAATCGAGCTTTGATAACGATAAGGCAACTGTATGACCGACCTGCAACGCACATTTCATTTATTATCATTTATTAATAGTTCATTACAACTACGGAATGTAATGCGAGGGCATAGGGATGCCCTGAACTGGATTAGAATTTTGTAATTAGTTCCTAGAGTGGGTACTTCAGATTTCTCTGTCAGTAGGATTTTGTAGTTTATAATTTTGACATTTCCCTGAGTTGTACTTCAGGTTCCTCTGTCAGTAAGATTTTGTTATCCAATACGAAACAATTTTTAATTTTGCATGGAAGTCCCTGACGGAGATAAATATTTGACAGTCATAAATCGTGAGCTTTGAAAAGTTGTACTACATTCTGTATAATTGTTGCATTGTGGTATACTTTCGATTGAACTTTGGGGCACCAAAAATTATTGGATTTTTTTTATACCGTTTATTCAAACATAACCCAGACCAAATTAAAATTTAGATTTATGAATTCTAAATGGTAAAAAATAAATGTTAAACCTATCCCAGAGCTAATATTACAGTTTAGATTTATGAATTCTAGGGATCAAGAATTTGGGTGCCCCAAAGTAGAGTTCAAGCATGCTTTCTACTAATTAATTAAATATTTTCTGTTATGGTTTAGAATATTATTAATTCTTCTGTTTCGAATAAAATCGATAAGCTTTCGTTTTCTTTAATTCCACGTTGATGCCATATGTGGAATCTCTTGCAATTCCTAAAATCAAACGCAGAGAAAAGATCAAGTTTCCATTTGAATGTAGTTTCGAATTTAATTACATTTTACTAATTGTTGGTAACTTATCATACCTGCATCCAGAGGTAATGAAGATGCGTAGAACACATCCGGTGTTTTGCTGCTGTAAGAGTACTCTGTGCCATTGGGTTACCTGTAAATGGAAAAGATGTTAGCTCGAATTGCTGTCAAGGTAATAATATAAAACGATGAATCTGTAGTTAGATTGTAAACATTGTTAAAAGAGATTAGAAGAGTTAGAAGAGACAATGAGAAAATATCTGTATATTCGCATACCAGGGACACCGGGCGCGCACTCCCCTAACGCCGGCCCTGCGCTGCAGTTACCGATCTAGGCCTCGATAACATCGGTCGGTACGAAAAGAATTTGATTACCCGCCACCATCTCCATTACCCTAAATAATTATCTCTAAATCTCTAAATAATCTCTAAATAATTAGAACAAGAATTGTGTTATCCGCGTTCAAATAAACTTGCGTAGTAGATAAGTTATGCACAATAATATCGCATTTGTACTGTAACTGTATGGCTATATACCTCATCTGAACGTACCATTCTTATTCTCAATAAATAGGATAGAAGAATATTTTTATCTAAAGAAAAAATGAACTAGAATGAATGTTATAGAATGTTACATAGATTTAAGTATATTTTGTAAAACACGGATTCCAGAAAGGTATCAGTGTTACTGCGGAGCTAATCAATGAAGAAACATGGTGTATTATCAATATATCCTTTCTCCTATCCTTCTTTGACACAATAGCTCAGTAATTCCTCGTTGAGGAACGTGATCGCGTGCTAGTTGGGGTCCTGATTCTGCTGACCACCACAAATGAACCATAATAAAAAGGTAGTAAAACTCCGAGGGAGAGTCGTGGTTCACGACGTCGAGAAAGGGCACCACAGTTTGCTTTGACATTCCCTAATCAAAACAAAGACTCCCCTTCTTCGTTCTCTCCGTTTCTCGCGCCAGCTCGGTCAGTCGTAATTTTTAAAGGGCACGAGGTATCGTGTTTCCCCGCGGCGACTGCCTTTTAGCTGCACTAATTTGTCGTTTCTTCACAAGCATGACCACCAGAAACGAACCAGAGGAATTTTACGCACCGGTCCAATTATTTTCTGACGCTCGATTCGTCTAAACTCTCGTCGCTTAATTGTTATATAATTCGTTTTTATTTAGAATATACTCTTGTAGCGTCCGGGCCTCCCATATCCGATAATGAGTCAAATGAGAACACTATACGCAGGGTACGGGACTGGTTCTGTAGGTAAAGCGCTACACTGTGAATCCGAGAGTCGTGGGTTCGAATCTCCGTGCCTCGTTTTTCGTTTGTACTTGTACAATAATTATTTCTCGTTCGTTCATTTCAAATTTTCACATCCTGACATTCTTCTCTGTAGATGTCGAATGTCCACTCAGATTCGAGATCCTCGTGGCCTTCCTTTTCCCAGGAACCATCTACAAATAATTTGCATTTGTTAATTACACGTGTATACATTAATATGCATCGTAAATTTCTATTAATGAACATACGAGTTACACGTACCAAAAAATGGGTAATGATAAATCAGTTGGAGGGATATATACTATTCAGGTGAGGCCAGTATTCGCGTTAATAATAAACTCGGAATTATCAACAATTTATACGAACGTCTCTTGGCGTTATCGGTGCGCTCGGAGCCAGGAGTATCGTGTACGCGATAATAATTGGAGAAATAAAGTACAACACGGAATTAACCGCGCTCGCGGCCGCTAATGGCAACGTTAACGTTAAGAGTCGATGAAACAATCGACCAGACCGGCTGGCTGGTATTTATTAAACACGCTCATTGTGCTGGTCTAACAGTACAGTGTTACAGTGACAACATCCAGGTTCGCGACTCCCTACAGTTTCATCAACAATCCGTTATCAACGTTGAAAAATATCCGGTCGTTTCGACGCGAGCTCCTTTTCTCTCTGCCCTCCCTCCCTCTCCCCCTCCCCCTCCCCCCCGCCGCGTGAATCGATTCGCGTTACAAATCGCTGTAACCAAACGAAACTGATACCTAGTTTTCCTTCCTTTTCTTAACGTAATTTTATTACATTGGTGTAATCCCTGGAATGTGTGGCTTGGAATGCTCTAGTTCTCTTAATAGAGGATATTTTGGATCGAAACCTTTTTTTCCTCGTAGATCGCATGCGAATCTATGAAAAATATACAGAGAGTTTTTCTCTAAAGCGAA